TCCGGTGTCACTCAGCTCGAGCGCGTAGCTCTGGCTGATGCATTGACGCCATCTTACCGCCCAAGTCACGCACCGAGTAGCGAGAGCGTCACGCGCTGGCACATCCCGGACAACAATGGATGTCTCCACCCTGAGACAGACAGACATCTAGGCACCCTAGTACCCAGCAATTCACTGTGTTCGCGTTGGGAAGGAAAGAAAAATGTCCTGATTTAGATACTAAACTTATTGCCTGTAAAAGTTTTGTTAGACCTGTGTCTACGCCAGCTCAGTCTGCCACCTTACACGCAAAATGGTATTCTCAGTCTTGAACGTATTCAGAAATAAACTGCTCGGTTTATTTTTAATAATTTTCGTACTGGAACCTCATCTACAGAACTGCTTCACAGGGCGCAGCTTCAGCCGTTGTAAACAAGAGCAAAAATTGATAGATTAAAATTGCTGTATAATATTCTTAATGACACTATTCAAATGGAAGGCTCTATATACTACTTAGAACCATTATCGAGAAAGTCCCGACGCCTACAACATACTAGAGCGTTAAAACAATAGATGTTTAAGAATGACGGGTTTAGAATATTCTTTCTTTCCTCGGGCAATTCAAGATTGGAATGAGCTACCAAACAATATTGTTATCTTAACATTCGTTGAAAATTTCGTTACAGCTGTGGAAATTTTACTTACCTCTGTTTTTCCTTTTTCTGTCGCTCTGTATGACTGTACTTTCTGTCGTATGGTGTACCCACTTCTACTAAGGCTTTTTGAGTAGAGCCCAATAGTATTTCCAAACAAATAAAATAAATAGTGGCTATACCTTCCTAACAGGTATAGCCATAGCTTGCGCCACCTAGCCAAAGTCTAAAAAGACAAACATATGACTCTTCCCGCCCTTCTAAACCGATTTTTCCCCCTACCTATTACCGCGTAGTGTGGGATATCATCAGGATAACCTTTGGGAGATTGGGCAAAGAAAACCTAAAAACATCACCCCCCCCCCTCCCCCCTGCCTCCTCCCCCCGGCGAAGAAGTCAATCTTCCTCTGGACAAACCCTTGTCGGCGTTACCCCAGAACCAAACTCACTGGGAGACAGGGTTGAGACTTTGGGCCGGAGCCACGTGGGAGCGAGCTCTGCCTGAGCCTTCTTTTAATTTCTGTGGGTTGTGTAGTTTCTGCTTCCCATGTTATAACTACCTTATTGTCTGTGCACACCTGCTGAAGAAACCTGACCAAATTTGCATCTAAATTATACTCCTTCAGCTGACCCCAGAGTATTTCCTGGCTCACATTATCATACGCTCTCTTGGTGTCCAATAAGCTAACCATAAAGGGGTTTGATTCTTCATTGCTATTTCTATATACATTGTGTTGAGACGAAGAACTTATCTTGCAGTCTTCTATCTCTTCAGAATCCATTTTGTAGCTCACTCAGTAGTATTTTCATATCGTGTGTGTCACTGTGCCTGTTCCTTGGCGCAGTGGCACACACGATCTCGTGACATGTCACGTGCCTCGCTACAACACTCTTATTGGGTCACGGGGCCGTAGCCTTCACAATTCTCCAAGTTATCATGAAGCAAAATATATATAAACAATTCGCGGAAAAAAAAAAGAAACGCAAAGCATTGTTGTTTTTTTAACTTTCTTTACATGCGGCAGGGACGTATACAGTAATTAGAAGCAAGAACATATGCGGAGAGCAAGACGTCCGCTTCTTGCGCAGGAGTTGCAGTGACGTCAGAAAGACGCCGAACTCTCATTGGCTCTGATTGAAGGATAGTGGGTAGACCTCGTTGCAAGCTGCCTTGAGTTCTACCCACTATGCTTCCTTCCGAGCCATACAGAGCTCGGCGTTCTGACGTCACCACAACCCCTGCATCAGTCAGGCTAAGGTCATGTGAACGAACGTTAAAATTATAGTCCGTAAAATAGTGCGTCTGCACTGGAACATTCCGAAAAAAAAAAAAAAAACTTTCATCGTGCGAGTCGGCGAATAGACTGTAGGCAAGAAGCAAGCTGTTCAGTGGCGTAGCCAGGGGGGAGAGCCCATGGGGCTTCAGCCCCCCCCCCCCCCCCCCTCTTTCCACACCCCCCAAGCCATAGGCATCTCAGCCCCGTCACACACCCCGAAAATAATTCCTGGCTACTCCACTAAAGCAGTTTGCTAGTACTGCAAAGTACTAAATGGTTTTCCTGAAGCCACACTTTTTATTGCCACGTATGAACTTCCGCAACACATCAAGAAGTTGCGTGCTAGGTTAAAATACGTATAAGAACGTTCACATAGTTGGATCGGCCCAGGTGGCCAGCAACGCACGCCGCGGAAGGACGCAACGCCAAACAAAACAGTCAAAAAAAAGAGGGAAGAATGAAATAAGCGCACACAGTAAATAACGCCAAAACGCATAGAAAAAACCCCTGCATAGAGAAAGAAAAGGTGAAATAAGCGCACAAAGTAAATCAACGCCAATGCGCATAGACAAATCCCCTGCATAAAAAAAAAAAAAGGACTGAAAAAAGCGCACACAGTAAATCAAGCAAACGCTCGGCCAAAGAGCATAAACAAATCTCCTGTAAAAAAAATCGTAAATATAACAGTGTTATATATATATCAGTGTGTCGAACCGAAAAAAATACGGGTTCGGTTACGGTTCAGGTTCAGGTAAATTTATTTTGTTCCGGTTCAGTTCCGGTTCGATTAATTCAATCCGCGAACCGGTTCGCGAACCGGTTCGGGGCGCTGAACCGGTTCGCGAACCGGTTTGGAAATTATAAATGACAAATTGCAACATCAAAATAAATTCCAAATAAAACATCTGAAATCAGCACACACGAAACGGGATACATCGTAGTGTAAGGCTCAGGGATTTCTACCAGGAATGGTTTCTTTATGTGCACTCAAAGGTTACCTCACCGACGTTTACGCATTCGGACTTCATCTAATTGGGTCCGACGCAGTAGCTGTAAAATCCGCGACCTCCTTACAAACCCACTTACAAGTAGAACTCGCTAACTATCCCGCCACCTCGGCGTGTAAGCAATTGAAGGAACAGTGGGGAGAAAATACCGCTTTCTTTATTTGAACTAACCTTCGGTAACTCAAATTAGACCCTTAAAGAAGTTTTCATTAAACAAGATACGGAATATGAAAAACGCTTCACCGAACGCAACGCCAGAAGGACGTAATAGGATAAATATTAAAATAGAAGAGTTCGCTGTCTCACAAATATTTTAGCTTCTAAATGCCTATACGAAACCGGATGCATCATTATCAAACTCCACAGCCTTTTCTTTTCTCATTCCGATGGAAGCAAGCTTCAAGAACTCGCGCGTTCTAGAAATGTGTTATGAAATGAGCACACAGCAGCATTTAGGATTTACGAGACTGTAGAAAAATAAAACCCCGTGACGCGATTTTTTTTCGTGCAAGCCGCTACCAGCGCAATACTGATTCCTATGTCAAGATTCATGGATGTAGCGTTTGTCAAGATTCATGGATGCAGCGTTTATATTCCTAAGACTGAGTGGAGAAGAAAAATATGTAAGCGAGGTGTGTGTCAGTTGACGGCACTTAAAAAACAAATGGCATTGATAGCACATTCATTGTCAACAGCGCGTGGCCGAACCGTTTTTACATGAGCCGGTAACCGTTATTTTTTTTCCGGTTCAGTTCCGGTTCGGGTTCATCGCGATAACAATATAACGGTTCGGGTTCGGGTTCAGTTCCGGAAAAAATACCGGTTCGGTTCTGGTTTTCGGTTCGGTTCGACTCCGGTTCGACACCCTGATATATATATATATATATATATATATATATATATATATATATATATATATATATATATATATATATATATATATACGTATATAAAAATTTTATTGTAAAAAAAAAAACAGAAAACAATTGAAGATTGCTGAGAGAATCTCTCCCAAATGGTTCCACGCCCATTTACAACACGTATACACTCAGGGGCGGATGCAGGAATTTCCTGAGGGGGGGTCAGGTGTTGGTCAGCGTACCATTTGTTTAGGATCCCCCTCCCCCTCTCCCTCGTTTCACGCCCTATAATTTACACATGCAGAAATCAAGAGGGGCGTCAGGACATTCGGACCCCCCCTCTAAATCCGCCCCTGTATACACTGCACTTATTTAACAAATATTCGCATATTTCTTTGCGAGACCAGTTGTTACTAGAGTCAATATTTAATTTTTATAGCATTTCCTGAGAAGACACTTTTTAATATGTGTTTAAATTCATTTAAATTATTATGGCTCAGGATGCAAATACGCACAAATATTATTAATGACAATTAATTCATCCTTGTGCGTAGGTACATTAATTTCGGCCACTCGTCATAGCTTAGAATAATGTTCCAGCCCTACAATACGGAACATTGTAAATATCACTACATTTTTTTTTTTTTGGGGGGGGGGGGGGGGGGGGGGGTGCTGTGGTTGAGTGGGTTAGCGCACACCAGCTCGGAGCACGTGCAGCGAAAGCTCGCGCTGCAGAATCCAGTTTCCTGGGCTCAATCCCCACCCCTGCCCGTTTCGATCTGGATGAGCATCGTACCAGCGTGCGGTCATGTATCACTTTCACTGCGTGATGCGCACGTTAAAGAGCCCAGGCTAGCGATTGTACTGCACTGGCTAAATTTCTCATCTACTCGTCGCCCGTTGAGGCAGACCAAGTTCTAGGCTGTATAAACATACACACAACCCAATTTTTTTTCTTCACCATATTCAAATATTCAAACGGAAGCGCGCTCGTCCGTTCAACTGCCGTTCTTGTCTTGGAACGCGTTTGTGTCATGCGCGAGAGAACACCATTTCGAATCAAGAGCCATGGAAAATTTTTAGAACTAAATTTCTTAATAATATTGCTTATCATACAAAATAATAAGCTAAAATATTATTCATGTCTATTTATTTCTGTCCCTTTCAATACATATCACGTGAGCGCTTATAAAATTTGCCAACTTCCGCCCGCACTACGTTTTGGCGCGCCCGAAGAACGCAATGACGCGGCTCTCCCTATAAGCAGACGACGTAATCTGGTGGCGGGCCGTTCCTCTCGTAGTTTGGTACGGTCAACGGTAGTCCTCGGAAGATACAAAGTTGCAAAAATGGCCTCCCTCGTCTTAAAACGCTGTCGGATTCACTGTCTAATGAGGTTCAACAAACGACTATCGTCCGCAAATGCCCTCAGGTAGGTCGTGAGCGCGATTTTTGATTCTTGATTTAAGCCTACACCTTCGTGCCGATCCATCGACCTCGCCGATCCACGTTGTGCGATCCGGCGACCTTCAACTTGAGTTCGTCCACCTGAGCCGCCAGACTGGTCGATCAATATTGACGGGTGGGCCCTCACCGTCAACAAACCTTCCGCAGATATTAGCTGTATCGAGTCAGTCAAGGGGCTGCTCGAGTGCTTCGCGGCAAATCGTCTGTATCTAATCGTCGCACTTGACGACAGCTGTAACTTCTTTCGACGTGGGGATCGGAGGGGAGGTTGCATCACTTATCGTTCGTTGCCGGTCTTGCCTCCGTTGAAATCGTGGGATCGTATTGGAAATATTTATTGAAGTTCCGGAGGAATTAATGCCGAGCCGCGTAATGGGTTAATCATATGACAAGGTGTGTTTCGTGTGGGTCTTGTCCAAACTCGTCAAACTTGTCCCGCTCGTCGAAGTTCCTTCGTGCGTGTAATGTTCGCGGGGCAAAGTGGTTTGCTTCGCAGCAATGAAACGGCAGTGTGAACACAATTTCTTAAGAACAGGACGAGGTCAGAGCGAAATCGTTGAGGAGTTGTAAAGTTGTAATCGGTCCCGTTTGTCACTTCGGCGGCCGCCTCACGTTCGGCTTGAGAGAACGATCGTTTAATATTTTAGCAAATACAATGGTTATCTAAATTACCGTTGACTCGTGACTAGAGATTATAAAGTTAAAATTTGTAAAAAAGTGGCTAATAGGAAATTTACATTAACAGGTACTGTAGACAATGATAATTAACCAATTAATTTTCGCAATCAACATCGGGTGCTTGCATCTCTGGGGCACACCCAACGATCTTGGATCACTCACCCATTTATTATAGTTGCTTTCATTTGTGAAAACCTATCCTCCACGCCAAACTTAACCCTTCTAGTTGCACAACCACTTTTAGTTTCAAAGTAGTCAATAATCTCTCAAACTCTCTCCTGTCTTTTTTTCTTTATTATTTTGTATTTGATTGCATGTATAAAAACCCCTTGGAGGTTGAATTGGTCCTTAGTCTTTGCCGGGGCAAGCCAGATGTTCATTGCTGGTTTCGCATGTAAACTCCCAAAATTTACTTAATTTTTCTTTCTTTCAAGCCTAAATGATTGCTTAGCCTTTTTCATTTCTATTCTTGCATTTCGTGATTCAGTGCAGGACATTGGCTCTGAATTGTCCACAACATTCTTTTTATATATTATGTGCACAGACGAACGTGCATTTGCAGAATAATGTGTTCGTTCGGGCACTCACTCGAATGCAAAAGATGGGTGTGGACGACGGTTGAGTCGCACCCTTTCAGATGCCACAAAAGATTTTTCTCTGACATCAGTGCATTGGCAAAAAAAGAAAAATGATTGACGTAGGAATCATTTCCCGTAGAATCCAACAACTTAATGTACCTGCGATAATACTGTACAGAAGGTTTGACTTGCTAGGAATAATTACTCGAGTGCTATCTTATTCTAAAAATAACCGGGCACCGTCGAAGATTAAACAGTCTCGGTAACGCCCCGCTATGTGCTGTACTGGTACTTTGTCGGCTCCTTTATGTGCGCCAACATGTGCGTCGCTCGGGCACATTGTCCGTGTGTGCCACTCGCTTTCCGTGCGGTGTTACTTCACAATCCAAACAAGTACTAGTGCTTGTGACTGGATGAGTCATACCCATCAAGCTCACAGCCAGTATGTTTCATGAGATTGGATGTGCGACCTGAACGCGGTGACGTAACGATGAAGGCACCTATCGACACCTTAAATTTATTCGCCATGGGATTCTTTTTTCGGACATTAGGCGCAATTTAATTAAGAAAAAGCAAAATGCTTTTCACGAAAATTGAGTTTGGAGTGGCCCTTATTTATTTTACCCCTAGAATTTAGGGTATTACACTGAAATTGGGTATAAATGAGGATGTTTATTCATACTTAATTTAGAAAAACGGGCTGCAATTACTGCAGAACATCCAGTGCTTTTCGCTGCCGCCTGGGTTTGTCACAAGTGTCGTAACGTCCTTGGTGGTCTTTTTGATCCAGCTGTTACAGTTCCGCTACTGCAAACATGCTGCGTTTGAGCGTGTTTTGCATTGCCCAAAAAATTAAAAACAGAATGGAGCCTTTTGTTTTATTTTTGTGTACGAATTGCACTCTTCCTTGGCCCTAAGGCAGCAGAGAAAAATCTGTAAATGATTTACGAAGTCCAGCCTCGTGTGTAAATTCCTAGGAGCACCAGTGTATTTAATTCAAAGGCTCTATGCCAATCTTTTGTGACCATATACCATCAATTGCTTAATTTTCTCGGACCTAATTATGCAAGTGCATCACTCCATGCTGACATATTTATAGTGTTCCACTCCCACTTTCAAATTTTTGGGCCTGTGAAACATTCCCAAACTCCGTAGCCTGCAGAAATTGCGAAATGTTGAGTCCTCGAAAATGAAGTTTGTTTACATGATATCTTTTAAGGGCAACGGTGCATGGGGTGAGCTTCTCTGCCATCTGTTATCTGTCAAAGGCCTCCCTACGTCATTGTTGCATCTCTGTCAGCTTCGAGGTTATCCAGGGTCACCTGATACTGCCCCTGAAATCGCTTTTTCTACTTTTTCTCTCTCCTTTCCTTCGCTCGGCGGGTGAGTCTAGAGAAAAACTTTAGTCGGTAGTTACGTCGCTCCTGCCAATGGAGCCGACAAAAAAACTTTACACACGTGCCTTTGAAGATGTGTACATTCAGTCTTTCACAGCTTTTTCGGATTTAGAAATCCCTTTTGGCATCCCTTTAAACCAGTCTGCGCAACAACGACAACCAACCTTGTGCCGCAGCCGTACAAGAGTAACTTAAAAAGTGTGATGTGGCTGCTAAGCTAAAAATCACTAACATGCACTGCACATTCCTGATTCACATTAAAGCCTAGCAGTAACATGCCAAAGTTGTAGCCTGCGAAGATGCGACTCACTCCTGTAGTTGGGGTGCCATAAAGACCTCTTCACACAGTACCATTTCTTTGTTTCTTTATCTTACGGGAGCTTACGTCGAGTCACCGTGACATCCAGGAGTTTAAATGACCTATATATTGCTCTATGTATAAGTTTGAAAATGTGTGACCATGTTGCACCCTTTTTGCAAGTGTAAAGGGGAGGCAAGGAGATCAACAAGTTGCTAAATGCTGCTTTCCCTTCTCAAACGGAGAGAAATACATTGATTGATTAATTGTCTACCCGTATTTACTGAATACAACGAAACCCTACTCATGGCATCACGTTAGAAAATGTAAGAAAATGCTCCTGTGTGAACAGACTTAACACGCTTAGAGCAACCAACTCGGCCTAAATCTTTGCGGTGCACCTCGTACGTCTGCAGGGTGCGTGCACTCAGCTTTGCCCAGACGGTGGAGGATTTCAAGGTGGAGAACGAGCCGATGCTGACGTACCTGCCGGGAAGCCAGGAGCGCAAGCTGCTTCAGGAGGCGCTGGAACGGCTGAAGGACACGTGCACGGACATCCCCATAGTGGTTGGAGGCAAGGAGATCAGGACCTCCGAGCCGCGATACCACGTGGCCGTGAGTGGGACCACGCCAAAATTTCCTTTGACGAATTTGCTGCATCACCGACCACAGGCTTGCCACATTGTGTTTACGCGGCGAGCGGCTCCTTTAGTTTGACAGCTGCCCTGGGGTGCAGGCAGAGAAACCTTTGGCTCAGAATGTACTTAGTTACCTTAGGCTAGCATACGAGACTGTAATTTTTGTTCTATATGTAGCTTACACTGTCGTCACTTAGTCATACATAATGAGAGAAAGGGCACGTGAGAGTGTAGCTTCCACTTGCTTAATGAGATGCTTCTTGCCACCAGAAAGAGGGGCGAACTTGGAGGAAAAGGCACGTGAGAGTGTTGCTTGTGCAGCGTTATTGAGGCACTTTTGGCTACCAGAAAGAAAGGCGGGTTGACGTCACGTGCAAGCCATGGATAGTTGTTGACAGGCTAAGAGTTCACGCAAACGCCGTAGAGGTGGTCACCTCCTCTCCAGCATTCCTTCTGCAAAGTGTTAGCACAAACAAGCAATCATCTTTTTTTTTTCAATTTTATTTCAGAATTAAGTTTGTCATTAAAACTAGTCGTGTGAAGCAAATGACTCATTTTGGGCACAATGCTAAGCAGTAAGATTTGTTGCTTACTGTTACATTTTTAAATTAAAATGCAAAAAAGCACCAATGCTGTGCTTGCGCTAACAGTGTTGTGTTCTGTACAGGTTTCTTGCTATGCCCTATACTGGTTAAGAATTGCATTTAGTTGCAAATATGCATGGTGTCCTAGATAGCTTGCACCAAACTTTACAAAAAAACGAAGCACTCTGCAAGAGTGAAACCACCTTTGTGTTAAAAAGCTTTCTGGGAAAGTGCAAATGTTTCTTAGTGCACCGAGTGATCTTGTTAATTAAGACTAATTAGCTAATTCTTTAATTTGTTTAAAGGCGTCATGAAAATTTTACAACTTTTTCCTGTTTAGCTTTTCTCCTCAACTCGTAAATCGCGCATTCTACCAAACAGTTCAAGAAGACTGAAAGGGGGAGACCCCTCTTGCTCCGACTCTCATTTGTGTACCCGGACACAGCCATTCTCCCCCTGGAAGATTAGCCTGTCGCTCAAAATTCGGACAAAAGTTGCTTTCACCATCCCGTTCACCCCGAAGCTGACAGTGCTGTGGGCTCATTGGGCCAGCCACACTTTTGTCACATGATGACGCTCTCTCGTGCATACCCACGCGCAGAGAATGAGGTCAGTTGATGAAAGGAAGGCACCTGATTGGTCCGGCAAGCGCGTAGCTTCCACCGCAATGTCAGCTTAGGGGTGAAGGGAATAAGTGAGGTCCGGTGTTGTGCGACGTGCGTTTGGATCCGGTGGCGCGCTTTGGGGACCGCGGATGTATCACAGTGAAAAGGCAGAGAGCTTAGAAGGGAAGGAGGTACGAAATAGTCCGTTGTGTTTTCAGATTTTCGTATCAAAAGTCAGACTTTTGACTTTCTACCTTTTTTCTTTTGGCCCACTGAACGATGTGCTATTAGTAAAATCCCAACCTAAATTGATGTATCCCAGCCCAAGATTCGTTTCATGGGCCCTTTAAGAGCCGAGGTGTGATTTTGAAAGTTTTAGAGGTCATGGGGACAAACATTCAATTAAGCTAGGTGTTTCCTACATGATACTCCTTGTGCGCTTCTTTTTATTAGCCTAAAAAGAAAGACTGCGAAATATAAAAGACCATGTGACAACGGGGGGGCGTGTCGTGCTTGCAGTGCTCTCAAACGTGCTCTGAAGGAACGAAGTCCACCTAGTCAGGGTGTTTCTCAATGTGCTCTGCAAATTTCCAATTCATACCTCAGGCTTTTGAACAAATAATCAAAAATTAGTCTTAATTATCAAAATAACTAAAGGCACTAAAAAAATTTCGCGCTTTCCCAAAAAAGCTTTTTAACAACATGCAGTTGGTTTCACTCTCGCAGAGCACTCCGTTCTTTTGTAAAGTTGGGTGCTAGTTATTTGGGACACCCTGTATAGAGGAAGTGCACTTGGTTCGCCAACACTCAAAATAAGATCTTGTAGCATACGTGAAGTTTTACATTATTGCATAGGTACCTTTGTCTCAACATTTATTTTGGTCTGTGCATTTGCAGTATGCCCTTGTGTGCATGCTGTGTAGCATGTGTATGTCCGGTCAGCAAACCCATATTGTTTTCTTGCAGCAATTACTTAAGTGCTTGTTTGAAAGGAAACTCAATTTATGTGGAGTGTGAACATCTTTTTTTGAACAAGATGCATTGCCTTTCTTTTCCAGCCATTTGACCATTCCAAGAAAGTAGCTAAATACTACTGGGCATCAGAGGTGAGAGCTTTTTGGCACTGTCCATTGTTGTGTTTTTAACATTTTGCACTGTATTAGTGATTGGTTTTTCATATATTTTGAAATTATTTGTTTCTAGTCGTGCTCAAAAAAAAAAAATAAGGTTGTCACATACAGTTGTATTTCTGGCATTGCCTGCCCAAAACATTTTCAGTGGTAGTATTTTGCAGGCCCTTGCGAAAGAAAGAGAGAGAAAGCAAGAAAATAAATGGTTGTTTTAAAGACCCTTGGAGCACTTTTCCAATGCATCTTAATTCTAAATATCAAATGCTTTCTTCTTTGAGGTGATGTATCGATCTACAGAATGTTAGTGAAGTAGTTTGAAGTTCGTTCCAATGAACTCATAGCATTGCAAGTCATTTTTTCATAACCTATGCTGCAAGTGCAATGGGAATTATCATAAAAGAGGACTCATAAAAGGAGAGTATGAAGGACTGGTACTTAAAGGTGCCATTGAATGGTATTCTGTCTTTAAGGGCCCCTGAAAAGAAAAAAAGAAGTTTTCTTTAAACAGTCTGGTTGGGATACGTATGTAAAAAAATTAATTTTGGAGGAAAAAAAAATATTTTTAGAGTAATATTGACGGTGCGAGGCGCGATTTAGTCGGTAGTCACCTCCTTTCGAGGAGAGGTGTATCGGCTTTGCCTTCACGTTGTGGTGGAAAGAGCGAATGACCATTCCGTGACATCATGAACTTCGTGCTCTGCTATAAAAAAAATTAATTATTTTTATATCACATTATTTATAAGCATTTTAAATTTAATATGCATAACTACATAACTTTTTCACGAGGCTATTCTACAAGACGAAAACATAGTTTATCCATAGTTCCATATATACCTTGCAATAATTGTTTAAAATTTTAGTTTTTTCTATGTACTGTGGAGGAGTAAAACGGGCTTCCTCGAGAGACAGTGGAATTAGGATCTCTTGATTAGTTTGTCGCGCATTTAGTATAATTTATTGTGTTTTGCTACTGTGTGGTGTAGAATGTGAGTGCCTGTATAATTGACCTAGTGTATTACGTTTCATTATGTTTGTATCCCAGCTGCTATGATCTCCATTTGAGATTAGCAGTATTTCTAAATCAATAAAATTCAAATAAATATTTTGCCTTCAATATTTCTTTAAAAACGTTCAGCCTTTCCACTCTCGTGAAGAAGGAAAACCGGCGGAGCTGTACTCGATACACTGCCGCAACGCGCACTCGCCCGTTTCCCGCTTCTTCTTGTCCGACACATCGCCAATCGTGGATATGTCTCTGGCGAACCAAAGTCGGTCGCAGACGCGAATTCCCTCCGGAACCTCGCCGTCGCTCCTGGGAACTGTTCAGCCGGCATGGAGTGCAGTCGTCGCCGGGCCTCGCACTTGCGCTTGGCCTCCGTGGCCTGGTCGTTGTCCGTGGCGTTGGCCCGCCAGCGCCCTTTACATCGCTGGTTCTGAAACTGATAAGAGCGTAGCAGACAACGCGCAAAACAGACGAGGATGAAGAAACACGTGACGAGCGCTGCGCTCGTTACGTGTGCTTCTTCTTTGTCGTCGTCTGTTTTTTGCGCTGTTTCCTATGATGAATTCCCACCAACGCGCCCAACTATTCATTCTTCTATGATAGCTGGAAAGGTTGCTGCCATCTACGAGCGACGGTGGCAACCAGACTGGCTGTGTGCTTGCCGCTGTCACTTATAGATGGCGGTAGCTGTCCAGGTAAGTTTGTGTCGAGAGGCGTTTGATACCGGACAGAATCCTGGGGAACCTAGCCCTTAAAAGCTCCGCTGTAAAACTATTTTTTTTTCGTGTAAAATTAATTTTTTGACACGCGTGTCCCAACCAGACTGTTTGAAAAAAAAAAAAATTTTTTTTTCTTTTCAGGGGTCTTTTAATGGAACGCACCATACGCAAACGCTTTGGCACAAGTGTGACACCAGTATACTTGCATGCAACGACACTTAGCTGGAAGCTTCTATGCTGCAGTATCATTTCAGGGACGGAAGCGAGCGATTTCTTTTATTCTCTCTCGTAAAGCTGGCTGATGTAGTCATAAGGATCACTCTGTTGATGCAGCCGGGGGTACCTTCCCACAGTAACGACAGGCAGTGGCGTCACTAGGGTCAGCAACACCCAAGGCAATGGCCTGCTGCGATTCTTCCCCCCCATCTCTCCCCCTCGTGGCCCACCACCACTTCCCCCTTTGACTGCCCAGCTGCACCTTACTGAACATTGCACTCCGGGCGGTTCGACCCTCCACTAGTGACTCCACAGACGATAGGCGAACGCAGCTCAAGGATTAAAAAAATGAAAGCCGTTTACAACTCCCTGTAACGCCGAATTAGAGCGCAGCTTTTGAGGAGGAGGAGGGAAGGGTACTGAGGGTCACGTGTTCTCGGGGGGGGGGGGGGGGGGGGGTGTCACGTGACTTTCCAGAGAAATTTTTCCGCTAGATCTAGCGGGGAAATTTTTCCGCTAGATCTAGCGGGGAAATTTTTCCGCTAGATCTAGCGGGGAAATTTTTCCGCTAGATCTAGCGGGGAAATTTTTCCGCTAGACCTAGCGGGGAAATTTTTCCGCTAGATTTAGCGGGGAAATTTACCCATAATGCACAGCACGGTTACGCCGACGCCGCTCAAGCCGAAAACGGGCGCCTAAGAGCTGCGCTCTAAAACAAGCACTTGTGAGCACCTGGCTAGAGCTCAGTTACATCAGTGCTGTGGCAGACATTTGTGTTGTGGCTCTGGTCCAATGGGTATGGTGACGGGAATAACCAAATTCCAGCAGTGTCCGGAGTCTTTGCATTGCTGACTTTTTTGCGTGACTATGATGAACATTGGCGACATGTAATGAGCACCAGATCATGTGGTTGCTTTTTCTGGCTGCGAGCCGAGGGGTTGAACTCCGTTTCTTTTTTTTTAATTTTCTCTGCAACTGTTCTACTTTGTTTCACCGCAAGTAGGCAGACACCAAGAAATATGACCCCAGTGAGCCAATCAGAGCGTCGGGCAAAGGCATGTGCCTATGTATCTTGGAAGTACATAGAATGCGGGTTTTGTAGGTTATGAATATAAATGGCTCATTTTAAGCACTACTTAGCGAAAGTGAGAGATTTGTTTCATGACCGCTTCAGTTAGGCTGTATTCCAAATCTTACCCAAATGGATCCGAGTTACTCCGGCAAGTCGTGTCAACTGACAGCACAGACTGTAAACGCTAGATGCACCAAGATGCAAAACCTTTACCCTGGAGTAAGATCAGGTAAATTTTGGAACACGGCCTGAGTAAATAACTATCCGGGTTACCCGTTGAGATAGACAGAGTGTTACGATGGACACAGGGTGAAAAGACTGAAGGAAGAGTGATTTTGTTGTTGCAGGAAACAATCCAAGAGGCGATCAACACCAGCCTGAAGGTGCGGGAAGAATGGGAGAGCCGCCCCCTCAACGAAAAAGTGCAGCTGTTCCTGAAGGCAGCCGATCTTGTGAGCAAGAAGTACCGCTACCAGCTCAATGCTGCCACCATGATTGGACAGGTATGGCAGCCTCTTCCTGTCTGCTCGAAGCTTTTCTAAGCAGATGTACCTGGTCAGGTTTCCTTCTTCTGGGCATACCGTAATATCCCGAGTCATCGCCCACCCCCCTACCGCCTGAAATTCGTTAAAAAAGTGGGGTGGGCCATGTCTCGGTGGGTGAGCACAAACACTTAAAAAAAAGCGGAAAAAACCGCCTATTTTTCTCTGCGTATCTAGCGCCGATGCACAAGAGATACATCAAACTCAAAACTCGATTTAGTTTCATTGTTTTATAGAAAAGAATGCTCACGAAAGAATATTTTACTATAGCGAAGTCCGTAGCTTGCATACGCGCTAGAAACACCGCCGATCTGCATATAGCACGAACGTTTGTTCCGTGAAAGAATGTCACCATTATGTTCTCCTAGTTAGTAAAAAAAAAAGAAAAGAAAGAAAAGTCTACAAGAAAATAGAAAAACCGACCAGGCGCAACGAGCGAGCGAGCGAGCGGACCAAAGAAGCGACCAAGAGCAATGCTGGGAAAGCGGGAAAGCCGGCGGTCGCGTTGGCAAATACTTTGGCGTCGGGCCAAGTCGGGCGCCTTGTCAAGTGCAAGCTCTTGCGCAACTTTCTTGTTTGGTGCGTACATACGTGCGTCCGTGCACGGCGGGCTATCAATGCACGGTTGGGACGCTCTGCAAACGTCTGTGTAGGACGTTCCAGCAAAGTTTTATTTACGCTTTGGCTTTCCCTAAAGTATTGCACAACCCCGGTCGCGACGGGCGGGAAGAAGGAGCGGGTTCGCGGTGACTTTACTTCGGCGGAGACAGACTTTGACCTAACACTCCGCGGTTACGTTAACAAACTCTTATTTTGTTATCTCCATCGTTTTCTTTTCGCACGGATACACGACTACTTTGGGGTCGCTCACGGAGGAAATGTGTAAACGAAAAGAAGTGTCTTTCCCTCCTTCGTTTTACTTTGTCACGGACGTCCTCCAACTGTAGGGTCCGCGGCCGCGTCATTCGGGTAGGATGAGTGTTCGCGGATCGCAGAGTCCGCGCTGAGGTATTTGAAGGGGTGGGCGATGACTCGGTGTTTTTTCGGAAATCGATATTGGCCCAAAAATTGGGGTGGGCGATGGCTCGGAGATGGGCGATGACTCGGGATATTACGGTAGTTGCTTTGCTATTCTTTATCCTCGAAGGTATGTCGCTGCCAGTTTAGTCACCTGCAAGGCTGTCAAAGCAGTCCAGAGGTTGTTTAGGTTGTGTAATCTTTGTGTGCTGCATGTTGAGACACCTAATGAGCAGTTGCGTGCTCCACTGGCTGAATTGCCCACCTCGGCGCAAATGCCAGATGCCATTTCAAACAATACTGCCTTCCCTCTGTCAAAACCTCCATACAGCACAATTCATGTTGACTATGTTTGGCTTAGGCCTCCCTAAAGGCCTTTAAATGTCTGTCTCAGATTTACTTTGTGGAGGAAATAAAGTTGTACAGAAATATATGCAAGTTCTTCAGCTGAAATCGTCAGCACAGAGTGGCACTTTGGTAAAAAATAAAAAGAGACCGTCAAACTGGTTTGTTAGCCCATTAGCTTTAGGGGGACATCTGTTTGCATGCTTAAAATAAGGCTTGTTCTTGTATCTCTCTCTTCATGTACACTTTCCGAATAATGAAAAAAAACAATTTAGTTGTCAGATATTTATACATCATCACGTTCTGCAGACTGGGCAGCACTATGGATGTGCATGAATGGAGCCAAACTGTTGTGCCATCCGGTGATTGGGTCTTCAGTTTTAAGTAGATTACAGCACCATCTCTGAATGGCATAGAACCTCCTTAGAAAGTAGTTCTGACATTTATATGTTAGATATTCACTTGTTTCCACTTCCTTGTATAAGTTGCAGTTCTCTGCTTGAAATTCTTAAAGGAGCTGTGCAACAGTTTCAGTGCTTTGCTTAAATATTTTGGGAGTTGGTGTCTCAACCTTTCTGAAGTGAAGAAAAAAAAAAAAAACGCTTTTGCCTGCATGTCCTAGTTTTTATTTCAAAAACGGACGAAGATTGAGGTTTTCGGCACCTCTCAACTCCTTCACCATCTTCCGAGCCACAAGCACTGTGACGTCAATGGGGTCTGCGCGGGGTTCCGGTTAATTTCTCTCTCTAGAGCCCACAGTGAGCGGCGAGAACTCATCCGCTCGCGGCCGCGTGGCCACGTGCTGGCGGGCGCAGCGCTAACAATATGGTGAAAGGAGGAAAGTCTCATCCGGGTCCGGCCATACCCGTCCGGCCCTGTCCCCCTCCCTCCGGCTTCTGGCAGCTGTTCGCAGTAGCAGATAGAGCTGATGGTTTCATGGACCTAGGATAGATGGCGCCACTAAAACTCCGTATAATGAAAGTTTTGTCGACGATACCAGGTTTTTGACGCATTTATATTTATGTTGGAACGACAAGATTTATAGAAAAGTTACCTTTTATCGAGCAGGTATTTGCACAATTTGCTATCTTTCTACAAGACCCCCATTGACGTGTTTCTCATGGCCGCCGCTCGCGGCTGCAGGTCGGGGAATATCCTCATTTTTGCTTCGCGATTACGTGGCGGAATCGCAACGTTTCGAGGGAAGGAGGTGTGTTTTCTGTCCTTTGTGACAAGGTGAATAATATCAAAAGTAGAAGATGCCAATTCTTTCAACGTTAAAATCATTGCACAGCTCCTTGAAATAAATTTGTTAAAATTGCAGGGCAAGACAGTCTTCCAGGCCGAAATTGACTCCGCTGCCGAGCTCGCCGATTTCCTTAGGTTCAATGCCTTCTTTGCCAAGGTAAGACAACTTGATAGTAGATGGATGTCTGTATTGAGCTCTCACACCTTCCAAAATCTTTGCACGACCAGTCTCTTTATACTGTACAATGGGGCTGTGTTTTCAGATGTGCCAGGCTACTTTGCAGTGGTTGCTGCAGTGTGGTTGTCGTTTAGTTTTATCAGGCTTAATATATGTTCTTTACAATTTTGAGTCTTAGAAGGGAACAAGAAGTTTTGTTGCTGGCACATTGAGAACAATTGCGGGTTGCTCGTGAGCAGTGCTGCATCAGTTGCCTCTTGTTTGATGATGGAAGAAACACATTTAGGTAATGACTCTGGTCGCTTTTCCCTTGGGGTGCGAGCGACCAGATCGTGTTCGGAGCTAGCGTCGAACCAGGAGTAGTTAATTTCGCGCCGCTGCGGGGGGCGCTGGGGTATGCAGTCCCTCCTCTCGGCAGCCACGGTGTCGGCGGCGTAGCGTGCTCGCCTTTTGCGCGGTGTGGTGGTGGTGTGGTGGTTGTGTGCGGCTAGTGGCTGGCCTCCTGTTTTGCTTTGGAGCTGTATTGATCACAGGTGCCGCCATCATGCACGAAGGTGAGCTTTAACCCAAAAAGGAAGAGAGCACAGATTAACGGACTCTGGAGACTTGGTGGCGGCTCAGCAGCGGTGTGCGAGGAATGCGGGGCCACCGCTGGGAGAAACAGGAGCGGTTGGTTTGAGAGGGACCCCATACTTGGGCGCCATCTATCCTCAAGCGAGTGAAGCGCGCTCGGTGCGCCGAATATAATGTGACCGCCGCGTCGGACGGAGAGTCATCACCTAAATGTGTTCCTTCCACCGTGGGTACGACAAGGAGCAGTGAACGAGGGAATGCAGGACCACCACTGGGAGAAACAACCGGAGCGGTCCATTTGGGAGGGACCTTATACTTGGGTGCCATCTATTCCTGTGCGAGTGAAGCACTCGTTGCGCCAAATATAATGTGGCCGCTGCGTCAGACAGAGAGTCATCAGCTAAATGCGTTTCTTCCACTGTGCTCCTGTGCAGTGTTTGTGCAAACCTTTTCTTTCTTCTAGGAGCTCACCAAGTATCAGCCCATCACAACAGACCCCAAGGTGACGGTGAACCACTACAGGCAACGGGGACTGGAGGTTTGTTAGTTAAGATCGTTCAAATGAAACCTTGGTCATGAGTGGGATTCCGTGTTTTTGGAGTTCACTTTTTACCAAATTCAGAGGGTGTTTGTCGAGTTCAGTTTTAGCCGAAAATTTGGAGTTTAGAGTAGTTTATTTTTATTTGATTCCCAATTCTCCGAAATTCAAAGCATAATTTTGCAGTGTTTTTAGATTTAAAAAAAAAAAAGAAAGTCATATCCAGGTGTAAATGTCTTCTAGATTCAAAAGAAGGAGCTTGTATCAATTGATGTTTCTCACTGGATTTATCATTGGAGCCATTGCCATTCTCAATACTCATTTGTCCCACTACAAAATTTGCAAACAGGTGTTCGATAAACGTTGAGATCTTAAAATGAGTAAACTCCTGGAGGTAGTTGCTAGGAAGCCCGTATTCATTCCATTCTATCCGTCAACCTACCTTCAACTGCCCGCCCCTTCTCCTCCTCCTATGAAGTCTCTATGGTTCACAGCTTTCACTGTTACAAAGACATAACCCCTCCTTTCTCTAAGAAGCACAAATAGTATGGCCCAAACTGCAAACCGGAACAGTTGTTTGTGTCATGACACGAAAGACCTGTTGTCCTGATGAATCTTGACAAGATAAGCTGTAAGAATCCTTTAGTCAATGGTTCGAGATTTGAGAGCAAACTGGGGTTAGATTTTCTCAAGACCATTGACTTGTGCTGTGTTCAAACTTAATCATAAAATACCTTTTTGTTTCTTGGCATTGGTGAATTGAAATTCTGAGTTTGTCAAAGTAATCCGCATTTACGCAAACTTTACCGGCGGGTTTTTTTCTTCTTTAATTTTACGGATTTATCCAAAAACGGGGAACCCTAGTCATGAGGTGGTGCTACCTTGGACAAAAAATAAGACGAAATAAAAGTTGCAGTTCTGTTATTTGCTAACCAATGCGGGTACCTCTCCCGGTGGGTAAAATAGCCACGAGAAGGATTTTTACCTCACATGATTAGCCTCCACGAGGAGAAAGTACCTATAGTCGGTGACAGGTCAAGAACGAAGTGGAACCTCCTCCCACCCCTTTCCACTTCAGTGGAGCGAACGGTGGAGAGGAGGTTGCCTCCTCTCCAGCGTTCGCACTATTAAAGTGGAAAGAGGCGGGAGGGGCTTCCTCTTCGTTCACGACCTGTAACCGACTGTAGCATTTCAGCCAATTGTGCTCGGCAAATGTAAATCTTGGTTCTTGTATTTTTTTCTAGTTCTTGCTTAACGCAACCTTCCCCAAAAATAACTTTACATCGCACTCCTAAGGTACACTAATGCAGTTCATTTCACTTTCACTTCAAGCCTCTTTGCCCTTTCTCCGTGTGAGAGTTTTATCAGTTGATTCATTTTCTTAATGGCCTTGAAGCCAACGCAGCACCCAGACAGAAAGCTGCCAGAGGCAGCTTGACATGGTCCGGGACCTGTCTCAAACTTGTCAGCAGGACATCCATTGTAGGAGACAAAAGCAAACTACATACAAGGGGAAAAATAAGGTGAATAATCTAATGATAAAGATCAAATAATGAAAATCGTGTGCATTCAACTTATAGCAGCATTATACGAAGCAAAACAAAAAATTCCATTCACGCAACTTTGACGGACTTGAATAACCGAAACGAGGGTGGACCTACGGCAGCTATTGGCTCGTAACGCTAGGTACAATAAGACTTTTGTCACCATTGTTTTACCTACCGTTTGAGGTACCTGCAAAGATCGACGAGCTGGCCCTGGAGTGTGTCTCTTGACAGCTCTCGTGTTTTGCCCAGGGCTTTACAACTGCCATCTCTCCTTTCAACTTTTCGGCCATTGGTGGCAACCTGGCCTCTGCACCCACGCTCATGGTAAGTCGGCAAAGTGCAAAGACACTTGCTTCTGCATTTTGCACTTTGTGAGTGACTTATTTCTGTCTCTTCATAAGCCTGTATACCGTAAACTCTCACCGGAGCAAACTTCAAGGTACCCAAGGAAATAACTTACTTAAAGGGACACTGACGGGGTATTTATGCTCGCCGAGGTTTTTAGTTGTACGGGACATATGAGAGCTCAACTACCCAGAACAGAATTTGCGGCTCGAAATTCGGTTTCTTTCCGCCCGAAAACCGCCGATCAAGAAGTGGCCGGTTCGAGTCTCGCTCACTCTCTTTTTTGCGGTCACGGGCCGTTTTCTAAGGTATCGATGCGACCACCAAATTTATTCAAAGTCGTAAGTCACTGAAGGCACACACTCAATATTAAAAATAGAAAAAATATGAAACCCATTTTTTGTGGCTTCTAAAAAGCTGCAAATACGTTGATTGAAAAAAAAGTTCCACAGACAACCGGAAGCATTCTGTGCGTGCGTCGTTTCGCATATCGTCGTGGGACTCGCAGGGACGGCGATGGCAGCGGACGACGGGCGTGGGACCTCTATTTCAGAACTGTCGTTCGCGGAACCGGCGAATTTTGTCTGCCTTTAAAAGAGAAACTTGGGACTGATCAAAAGAATTGGTATTCATCCCGTACGACACGCCCGACCACCAAACCGATTTGCACGAAGACGTCGCCGAGCCGTCTCTCCCTTCTCGTGGCTGAAGACATTGCTCGCGCAAACATCAAGCACGACGTGTCTACTTAGAGTTGAATATGCACGCGTACGATTTCTTTACTAGGTGAGAACGTCGCCAATGCGTGGTGCATCCCGACTTCGACCCGGGAGTGCTTTTGCTAGAGGAAAATCGGCAGCAAACTTTCCAACTTACAGTTTATCGGCTGAATTATTACTAAGAAAAGAGATCCCCCAGTTTCGATATGCCCCAGTAGCTCAGTGGGAAAGACGTCCGCTTCGTACGCGGTAGGACCGGATTCGATCCCCCGTGAAACTTTTTTTTTTTTTTTTTTTCAAATATTTTTTTATGTCTACATTTCTTTTTTTTTTTTTTACAATTATCACTGAAGAAACAAAAAAAAACAAAAAAAAAACAAATGTTGTGGACGACACATCGCTGAATTAAATGGTATAGGATTTCCTTTTTGACACCTGCGAACTCAATGTAATCACTTTCCACAAAATGCAAGGAGCATATAAATCAGGTAGCGTCCGCTTTCAGAGGTGCCCGTAAATGGTCTACAGGAATTTCAGCCAGCCATTGGTCCTGATCCCGTTGATCTTTCGGAAACTCTCTCGCACAATGCCACTTCTGTTTCGGACGCAGGACATGTGAGCCAGCTCTTCACGGAACATCTTGGGTGTATTCTTTTCGGAGCCGATCAAAATTCACGACAGGCGCTCACTACTCATCTCCAACTCCTCAATGTACAAAACAACTCATCTTGGAGTACAGAACAACGAGCAGAACATACATAACTGCAAAAGAATCGCACGGCGAACAGTTCCCGTACGCCGCATGTCGTCTGCTACGGGAAGGAGAAAAAAAAACCAAAAAAAACACACGGTCGGGTGTAGCCACGTGACTTCCGCCACTCACTCTCTTCTCTCCACTTTTCCGACCTCCGTCGGGTTTCAGTTTCGAGCAGTTGCGTCTTTTGGCTTTATTAAAAAAATATGCTACACTGTTGCAAAAATATTAATTGGGTAGTCCTCCGACACCATAATAAAGCACCTGGCAAAAAATTAAAAAAAATTTTGGGGGGTGTCAGTGTCCCTTTAACTGAAAGTTCACCAAACTGAATATATTCACTAGAACATGGAACAGCATAGGGCGCAGCCTACACCGTGTCAAAAATGTGAAATGCAATTTATGGAGTCATATACATCGACATATACAAATTGCATAACAGTTACGTTGCGAAGCCATACCGCAACAGCATTGTCTACTGGCTTGAAATATCCCATGCAGAGTCGTTTCCTGTTGGGATTGAATGCAGTTTCTCCTTCAAGCTTGACTTTTGCTTTACTCTCGTTGACACTATCGATGGTGAAATCCCTCCTTTGCAACTTCCGCTTGCCTTTGACCATTGTCCAGACGCCGAAGGACTTTGAGGTTGTCTGATAGAGACAACCACTTCCGTTTCGTCGTATTCATTACGAAAGTGGGAGCACAAACTGCCATCCTGCCGTCGTTTCCCAAAACTAAGATGGCCGAATGGAACCGATGACAAAGAAAAAAACAGACACACCACGTGGTTTGTTTTCGTCTACCGCACAGTCGCTTTGCCTCAGCGGTGCTGTAAATGCCAGCAATAATACGTTGCCGCTGCAGAGGCAGCAGTGGTGGGGTGGCAGGGATCGGCTATGCCAGCACTGCAGAACACAAAACTTCGTTGAACTGATTGCAAAAATAATCCTGGGCCCGCTGATCAAGTTCGTTGAACTTTGCTATTCCGAAATTCATTTTTCGTTTAACTGATACATTTTTGCATATAATGCATAGGAAAACCATTGGGGATTTTTCTAAAGTTCGTTATTCTGAAATCTTCGTTCAACCGGCGTTCGCTCAAGTGAGAGGTTTCTTACTTGAGCGAACCTATTTAACTCTGTCTTTTATTCTCTATTAAAAATAACAAAGTTGGGACTTATTTCTATCTCTTCATAAGCCATACTTCAGCTAAAAATTTTATATATTCAACTCTGTCTTTTATTCTTAACAATAAAGTTTTGAAAACATATTGAGTTAGCACATGGACCCAGGATTATGCAGAACAGTGATGCTGTATTGACTAGGCCAATGCTTCGCAAGCATTTTGTGGCTGCGACACTCACAAACTCAATTAACTGTGGCCTAAAAAATAAGGGCAAAGGTGCACAAAATGTAAGAAAAGACGTGACGATCGAGGATTTAAAGTTCGACAGCGAGATGTCACTCTGCCCCAGAGATGTGGTGACACGGATTCTCCCTATAGACAAGCAACTTGGGTAGGGCATTAGGACTGCTAACCTGGGGTCTTTTCTGCTTGCTTCCGCTCTGACCACTTTATTTGCTCGTTCAATAAAGAGCCAGTCTAGTTAAAGGACACATGCAAAGGAAAAAAACATTTTTTTTAGACAGCTTAGATGGAAAAAGGATGTCATAAAACGATTTTACAACGAAGAAAAAAAATTTTTAGAGCTATATTTACGGCGCTATACGAATTTGTAGTTGGCGCTCGCGGGAGCCGCCGCTGGTCACGTGGTAGGCCCGCGTGCCGCCGCGCTGCGTCGCCGCCGCACGCTAAGCGTTGTGCGAACGCCGCTTCAACGCGTTTCTCCACGCCGCCATCGCCACCGCCGCCGCCGTCTGACCGGCGCACAGGTCTATCACGTCTGCTTGCGCTTTTTCAGAGTTTCCTTTGGGCTCTAAAAGTTACTAATTCATCTTAGTTTTTTGTTATACTTCAAACAAAGATCAATAAGTTACTTTTAGAGGCCATAGGAAGCTTCCGAAAGAACGCAAGCACCACGTGATAAGGACCAGTCACGTGATAAATACGGACCACTCTTCCGCGGTGCCCGCGGGCGCCAACTACAAATTCGTTTTGCGCCGTAAATATAGCTCTAAAAATTTTTTTTCTTCGTTGTAAAATCGTTTTATGGCGTCCTTTTCCCATCTAAGCCGTTCAAAAAAAATGTTTTTTTCCTTTGCATGTGTCCTTTATTCGGACACTAAGGGTCGCAGTTTGCTGTCAATATGATGGGCAGTGTTGCACACTGGACATAAAAGCGCCGACGTTGGAAGCAACTGACAAACGTTTCAAGTTTGTCTGGTTTCCCTTGACCTGACGAGTGGTCTCGTAAGAAGAGGCCCCCAAGTGCCTTCTCGGAGAGCTAATCACATTGAGAACATGCTAATCCCAAAAGGAACTTGGCTAGGGCAGTATTATAAGAGCACTATACTTGGTATCAATAAATTTGTGCCACATTGTCAAGGGCTGTGCAGCTTCACACTGCTGTGAGATCACATGGCCTATCCTTGCGACTCATTCGCAGGCACTATCGTGCGAAGGAGACACCAAACAAAGTCACAATCTCTTGCAACTGAGCGCTGTGGAGGTTACGCTTCCTTCATGACACAGCACAAAATAGTTGACGCCGAGTACAGTAATTGGAGAGATGTCCGGACCATCCAGTTACAATGCTACTAGCGCTTGGGAAATACTTAGCTAGGCTGCCTCGTGTGACCGGCTCAAGGAACTTGGCCGAAGCGCTCTAGTCCCACGTTTCTCCCTCGTCCTCTCTCGCAGGGAAATGTGGTGCTGTGGAAGCCGTCGGACGCAGCAGTGCTGTCCAATTACCTCATCTTCAAGATCTTCGAGGAGGCAGGCTTCCCTCCGGGCGTCATCAACTTCCTTCCTTCGGAGGGCCGCACCTTTGGGGACGTGACAAGCCGCTCCCCCCACCTGTCCTGCGTCAACTTCACCGGCAGTGTGGCGTGAGCTCTCTTCTTTCCCCAAAACCGTCTTTTGCTGGAGGCCGCTGCAAAGCATCCCATGTACAGCAGTAGTGGGTGTCCCCCTGCATGTTTGCAGAAGGTTGGCTCCTGAAACCTGCCATTTCGAATGGTTGGAGGGTGTGTACCATCTCTGGTGCGCAATCTCCCTTCGATGGCAGAATTGCAAATTATTACCATAAAATCGTTCAGAAATTATTTGCTTCGAAACACCGAATGCTTAGCATTCATAGACACCGCTCGGACGTGTTTGCCAGAGCCGCCCGGTGCAACAACCGGCCAATATTTCTACCTTCTTCCTTCCGCTGACCACGTTTCATGTTAAATTCAATATACTAAATGCCTCTTTAGGCAAGTTATTCCTATCATTGGGTTGGTTTCAAACCCCCCACAGGGCGGCTAATCATGCACAACATCTGCCGGGAATCGCAGCTTTGACCAGACTGACGGTGTGCAAAACGGGATTTCTCTTCCCGTTTCCCGTGGCATGTTGCTTCAAGCTCGGTGAATATTCCCCGTATTTAAGCTGCTTAACAAATTACTATGTGCCGTGAGCATGACAAAATCCAAGTTTTCTTCATATCCTTAATATAGCAAACATATTTCTTGTTCTCGTCGACTGTGTTTTAATGCAGTCCGACGGTACTGATTAGGGATCACTTGAAAAGTCCTAATTTCGTTTCTTTGGGGGTGAAGAATTAATAAGCTAAGAGTTCCGGAAGGTCGGGGTTGCGAGCTGCTCAAATAAATGGCATTAACAAAGACAACTTTGGTCTTTCTGTTTAGCTACATTTTCCAAATGCTGTTTAATACTGTCAAACCCGGTTATAACAAAATCAATGAGAATCAGAAATCACTTAGCTTTACCCACTTCTTCGTTGTATCTAAAAAAAGAAAAAAATAATTAACATGGGCTGTCATGGGTGCTTGTTTAGTGTGCCTGCAGAAACCGGTTGACCCGTCCCTGCCTGCGCTCTCTGCTAGACCGGAGCCGCTTCTCGGCAATTGCGAGAAGCTTCAATCGAGAAAAGATTCTTCAAGCTACGTATGGGCCGTGTCAACAGCTGCAACAGCCCCCGCGGAGGACACCCGCGCGTGGACGGCATTCTTTACCTTTATGTGCACTTTGTCGAGGATGGCACATTTTTGTTCCAAGTAGGTTTCCTTCGTCTTCCCCGTTGAGGTGCCGACAGTGCTGGGACTCTCCATTGTTGAGGGGCGATGATTTGTCGCATTGGTGCTTGAGCGAAGTTAGACTTCCACGCAAGGGCAACCACACCGACCAGTGACGCCGCCTTCAAACCCGAAGGAAACAAAGAAGCAGGCACGGCACCGAGTCCATGCCCAAACTCGTTTTTCATCTTTAAACGGAGCTTAAGAGAGGGGAAAACAGCTCGATTGGGGTCACGTGGTTTGTGGGCCGCGTTTGCAAAACAAGCTGCAGCATGCAAGGGGTCATAACCCAAAAGCATTCACCTTCTGCAAATGTGCCCGCTTCTGTTTCGATGTACATTTTAAATAATCATGCCTTACCAAAATGCCCAAGCTTTCATCCCGCCTCTCTGCCCAGTTTCCTTGCCACACCGGCCATGCAACAACCAAATGTGGGCGTACTTGCGCCAATCTGCCCAGGAGGCATTTACCATTAAATTGCAATGCTCTCAATGGTCGGAATCGCTCCCTCTTTTAAGTCTGGGCTCTTTCTGTCGTCTCTGCCGGTGCGTTGTCGCTAGGGCTCCGAGCGCCCCTGTTGGCAAGCTAAGACGGCTTCTCTGCGTGCGATGCAGAAAAGCCGCTTCCCAGATGAGGGCGGTGCGGACAGCGATGCAGGCCGCCTTGCAGCATTGTCTGCGGCCCGTTCTGGGTGGCTACTCGGCCGCGGCAGCAAAGTTCAGCGGTCTGAGACTTGGTAAACTTTCCAAATATTATTATTTTTAACTTATCGCAACATTTCTCTTCGCTATATCCGCAGGAACCGCTCAATTTTCTTCGCTAAAAACAGACACAAATGCATTGAGAAAGGCTCGAGGTACACCTCAGCCCTTCTTACGAGTTGTGAATGCGAAAGCATGAATGTCGTCCTTGCGCACATCCTCGTGAAGTGGCCATGCTGCGGTGACATCGGCCATGTTGCGGTGACATCGGCCATGCCACCGCTCTCGAGAGCGGCGGCACGGCTTATTCTTTTCTCGCGCGCTGGCGGTCTGCCCGAGCGCGCCAGCCGATTTCTGGTATCTGCTCGCTGGCGGCACCAGAGTTCCTCTATAGGCTCCCTACGGGAGCCAGAGATGCATGTCTGTTTTTCACGTGCCACCGCGTCGCTATTTGCCAAGATCCGATCACGTGAGAAGTCGGATCAAATGCTGTCCTGGAAAGTAGACGCTGCACACGCCCCAGCTACGTTCTCCTGCTTTTGAGCGTGCCGCGTGCCTCAAACGTGCGTCGCTGCTATTTTCTGAATTCAGTCACGTGAGGAGTAGGATCAACATGCCGTGCAGGAAAGATGGTGTTACGGTGATGGAAAGATGGGTGTTACAGTTCTTAGGAAGCCTGTATAGGCTCCATAGGAAGCCTATACAGGAACTCTAGGTGGCACGGGCGTGCAGCGCCATGGGGTGGCCCTCCTTGAAACTGACGTGCAGCAGCCAATGGGAGCCTCGTTCCTTGAAACTATGGTGTGTGCCAGCCAATGGGACTGAAGACAAAATCCATCAGAATTCGGCTTCACTGTGCTTCATTGGGGGCGGGGAAACCAGGGGCTGGTGGCTAGGCTTTTCACGTGGCTTCAAAGCTGGGAGCCATCAGATCGCGGCTTCACTTGGAGAAACAAGTTTAGGTGCCATTTGGCACGGCTTCAAAACCGATTACTTTGGCTCGCTCCGTGGGACAGTTAATGCTTTCGCATTAAAAAGTGTGAATGGGAATGAGAAATTGTGATCAATTTGCTGTAGCCACTATTTCGTTATAACCAACTTCATTATCACCGGTCTTGATAGTATCGTGCTTCGCACTTGGGGGTAAACCACTTACTTCATGGAGCCCCTGGCTGTGTACAGTTTATTTGTGTACGTGTTTCTTTACAACATTTTTTAATTCATGAAACTAAGTCACTTTAAAAGATAAATCATTTACAGCGAAGGCTTTTCTGTTTTGCAGAACCTTCCGGACCATTTGGAAACAGGTCGCCCAAAACTTGGATTCCTACGGCAACTTCCCCAGGCTCGTTGGTGGTGAGTGTCCCAGGCACATGTTCCCAACCCCGCGGCAGGCTGGTCATATTTTCACTAACCCAGGGTAACCTCTTGAATATCAAGGCTGAACTCTCCACAAGGGAATAACTGGTTCCTTGAATGTAATGGGAAGTAGTTGTTTAATAAATGTGACAAACTGGGAAAGGCAGAATGCAAGACAAATCTTCCTTTGGACATCTGTGTCCACCTGCAGAGAGAGGGGACATGAAGGAGAGTTTCAGAACCTACCTGGAAGTGGGGTTGCCGCAAATTTCTGTTGATCCTCGATGTTTCACTGGTCTAGCGAACCTTTAAACTTTTGGTGAAGTTGGACAAAGTTCAAATTTTGAACTTTGCCTTACTTGTACACACAAATTTCAAACACCTGGGAACATTTTTATATACTATACAGTTGTTCACAAATAGTAAAAGCAGACACTCAAACTTCTCATGATTTTGTTTGTTAACCTGAAGTGATGCCCCCAATGATTAATGCAACCCTTCTCTGTCAGGGGATGTCAGCTCGTTTTTAATTTCTGCACATGTGCACAGTAGACTAACTATACATAAAAAGTCTGAAGAAGGTGAAGCTGGTCCAATTCAAGCGTTGGCAGGTTTGCAACATCCTCACTTCAGACCCGGCTAAACAGCAGTTTCATAGGGCCTCCACTAGGTGCTTGAATTTTCTTTGTTGAGTGTTACACAGATGTATGCAGACTGTACTTGTTTTACTGGGTCAGGGGGATTGCGTCACTCTGCACTTTGCAATCTCCGGCAGACCTATTAGGTGGTTTGCCTGTCTTGGAGGCTACTAAAATACAAGTGAGATTTTGGCTTTTGAGTTAGAGTGATTCCACAAAGCAGGATCTGAAAACTAAGGGGAGATTGTTGCTTGCAGTGTTGGATTTCCTTCAATGCACGTATGTTCACCAGTTTAGTGATTGTTCGGTAGATTGTTCAAGTCGTGGGGTATATAGCAAGCTTTTTATAGAAAGATGTGAAAATCCTGTTCCTGTTTGCAGCAAGGTATTATGATATATGGGCTTTGCCCAATTTTTGGTTGCTTAATGCTTTCCATACCACGAGAAAAAGCAGCGATTTTTGAGGGGTGTCCAAAAAAGTTTGGTTTTCAAGAACTATAGTCAGCCCATGGCTAATTGATACATTACAATGTAGCCATTGAGCTGCTCTTTAGAAGGAAAAAAAAAAAAAAGATTTATACTAATGGCTGAAAATAAGTGGTCATTTTAAATGTAGGACTTGGAATTTATTCAGGAATGAAAACAAGAAGTCTAAACGTCTGTGGCTTTATTAAATCATACCATGATTTCTAAAAATGATGATGATTGGGTTGTGGGGATATTTATACAGCGTGTAGGTGGTCTGCCATTCCATTAAAGTTGCGACGAGTCACACGCTGTAGATGAGCAATTCAGCCAGTGCAGTACAACTGCTAACCTGGGGTCTTTAACGTGCACCACGCAGTAGTGATACACGACCGCACGCCGGTACGATGCTCATCCAGATCGAAACGGGCAGGGGTGGGGCTCGAACCCAGGATCCCTGGGTTCTGCAGTGCGAGCTTTCGCTCCACGCGCGTCGAGCTGGGTGTGCGCTTCAACCCACTCGGCCACCGATCCCCCCTCTAAAAATCCTAAATATACAAAGTGCGCTTCTGTGGCGTCATGCCATACAGACACGCTGTTGCATGCGAAAATGTATGTCGTACTATAGAACACTTCTTTTTCTGTTTCTTTTTTACAGCGGAGCTGTTAAGGGCTAGGTTCCCCAGGATCGTGTCCGTGTATGTCGACTCAAACCTACCTGAACAGCTACCGCCATCTATAAACGACAGCGGCAAGCACACAACCGGTATGGTTTCCGCCGTCGCTCGTAGACGGCGGCAACCTTTCCGGTTATAATAGAAGAATGGATAGTTGAGCACGTTGGTGAGAATTCATCGTAGGAAACAGCGCGAAAAACAGACGACGACGAAGAAGAAGCACACAGTGTATTGAGTACAGCTCCGTTGGTCTTCCTTCTTCACGAGAGTGGAAAGGCTGAATGATTTTTTACAACATTTTGGTTTCTTTTAGCACTATGCTCTTACTTCCCGTCTGCTGTTGTTTTTATAGCTCGTGACACACAGAAAATATGTTTCCTGTCTCAGGACGGCCCAGAAAGCTAGAATGACGCTCTCCAACAAGTTCCTGTCGATATTCCGCACCTCAGGGATGAAGTGACGTCGTAGGTGCTCAGATAAAATGATCCAAAATCATCTCACTCTTCAGTGCTGCAGTCATCCAAAAGAGATGAGCAGTAAAAGCACTTAAATCATAGGATTGAGGCTATCTTTTTAGCAGTACCCATCTCTGCGGGACATCACGTTTGACAGGTGCCACCCTCCCGCAGAGATTTATTTCTGATGGCTCACCCAGGGATTGGGAGAAAGCACAAAGCGAAATCGAAACTGAAGCTGTAGTTCTTCAGCCATCCACAAGATGGAGCAGCGTGTTCCTGTGCACTGCCAGATTCAAATCTTGGCAGCACATGGAATCCATTGACCACCTGTGATAGGTGGACAGTGAGCGTGGTACGGAAAGAGTTAGCTGGCACACGTAATGTAATAATGTAATAATCAGCCCTAACCTTCAGTAGTTAAATGTGAGCAGCCCCGATTTTAGGCTTATTACATTACATACTGCGGATTGTATTTCTTATGAACGTGTTGGTAAAGTATACTAGATAACAGAAAGAATAAAACATAGAGAGGACTAAACACAGATGAGCACATTCTTTCAAAATGTATCTGTTCGAGTTTCGCCCTCTCTACATTTTATTTCTATTTGTTATCGAGTATACTGCAGGTGTTCTCGACTTTTGGACTTCGGGGAAGACCCATTACAAGTTGAGCGAGAGCCAAAGAATCGCTTGTTACTCGACAGTGCTTGGATGAAGCTATTTATAAGCTCTCAAGCTTTGTTAACAACAATGTACGCTAAGGCAACATTGGTGAAAGTGTTCAATGCTTGACTAAGCTATGGTTACGTAAGAGTGCCAAAATAAATTTGTCGAAGGCATCTGTCAGTGTGCTGTGGAGCTAATGTAAGGTGTTCTTGTGCTGTGTGTCTCTGCAGAGTGCGGAGGCAAGAACTTCCATTTCGTGCATCCTTCGGCCGACCTTCCTACGGTTGTGGCCCAGACGATTCGCTCCGGCTTCGAATACAGCGGCCAGAAGTGCTCCGCAGCCGAGCGTGTCTACGTGCCGGACAACCTCTGGCCCAAGGTGAGGGGGGCCTGTCTTGATCGTTAAAGGGATTGTCCAGTGATATCCGAAAGTTACTAAGCTTTTGCGCTGGTCATGTGGTGAGGGCCTAAATATAGTCAGATGTGATATTTATTTCATTAAAAGTCTCCCCAATATTCGTTGAATCAATTACGAGCATTAACACGAAACTTCACGCCAAATTTCGTGAGTATGCACGGCTGGTCGTGTCGCAACGTCGGATCAGGCACGATGACGTCAGAGTTGCGGGCGTTTACTTATTCCCAGTTTTGATCAACGTGGTCGATGGTGCATACAAAGATCGTTGTTCAAGAACTGAGCTTCCCTCAATACTGTAAATAGTGTCTCTTAGAACAAAGTTAATTTACAGGTACAGCAGTCAAGAGGAGCTCTCGTGGCTCTCTGCACGACGTTACATTAGAGTTTCTGCTGTTGCCAAAAAAAACATGCTGCGTGTTTTGCGGGTGCAATCTGAACAGTTGGGCTCTGTTTAAAATTGAATTTGCTTGTGCGGCGGAGGGTTGAAAATTTGGATATTGTGCGGATGATATTCCTAAAAGCAGTGAAAATATAATATAATTGTTTTCTGAAAGACTAAATTTTACTGGGCAATCCCTTCAAGTCGTGTCCTCCACAAAATTGAGCGTCACTTTGGGAAATGCAGTAAAAACTTTCAGCCTTTCCACTCTGGTGACGAAGGAAGACAACCGAAGCTGTACCTTGGTGGAAATGAAGTAATGGCCAGCCGCAAGTCGGCAAGCCAGAGTGGAAAGGCTGGAAAGGTTGCCGCCATCGCTCATAGATGGCGGTAGCTGTCTGGAGTGTTGTTTCGACATTTATTTGCTGGCGGACACGATCCTGGAGAAACTAGCCCTTAACAGCTCCGCTGTAATATAATAAAGAGGAACCGTAAAGTGACTTTTTAATTTTGGCTCACTCCCGCTTAGCTGGACTTGCCGGAGGTTCAACAAGGAGGGGCCGCAAACCTTGGAAGTAACGAGCCAGGAAAAAAAAACTGTTGCAGGTGATTTTGACTCTAGATGAAGGAGACACGGTGTCATCTTTACTAGGGAATAGCACGCAGTTCGTTTCCCTGCCACCAGATACAGTTTTACAGTTGTTTCAACCCTGAGACTACACTGTGGCTGGTTCATGTCAAAAACATGTTAATGTCAACCTTCCATCGTTTTCTGTGTTCTCTCTTTAAAATTATTTTGAGGGATTCAGAGTCGGGAATTGGAGCAAGAATATATCGGGACTTGAGTGCAACGGCGCGTTGTGGGGAAGTATTGTACCGACGTGGCTAAATGGGTGTGTCCGCCCCCTTGTTTCAGTTGCGGGAGCAGTTGCTCGAGGCCCACAAGTCGCTCAAGGTGGGCTCTCCGCTCGAATTTGACACCTTCACGTCCGCCGTCATCGATCGCAATGCCTTTGACAAGATCTCGAGCTACCTGAACCACGCCAAAAGTGCGTCCACGCTCAAGGTTCTGGCAGGAGGTGACTGCGATGACCGGTAGGTGACATTTTTCTCTAACTCGATAAGTACTGCCAATCTTGGTGCATAATTACAAAACTTGGCTTCAAAGTATGCAGCCAGCTTCCACAATAAGAAAGACAAAGCTAATAACGGTCAGTGAAAGTAAAAGGAAGTGGAGAAATAAGACTAGGCCTTCTTTTATACTTGCTTTTCTAGTCACATGTGACCAACCAAGATCTTTGATATGACCGGGGTTAAACTCTATGGCATGTTCATGCAGGGTGTCGAGAATGAAATCCAATGGGCTGAGAAATGTTGGGTGTCAATTTGTGTCTGCTGATCTGGGAAATACTTGTGGTAGTAGTATACTTGTTGACGTTTCACGATGAGTTCTGAGGGCTTGTACTTTATTTATTTTTTAGGAATGTCTCGTAGCTTTATTTATATTGTTGATATCCCCTTTCAAATCGTCTGCAGTAGCTGCTTCCCTCTTCTTGCTTTTGTTTTCAAAGATTTGTTTGCATTGCTGGCTAAGCTTGGGCGGTTGTTTGCTTTGCCCCCGTGTGCCGATCGTCGATGCCCTCCCGCTTGCAGGACGGGCTTCTTTGTGCAGCCGACGATCCTGGAGACGTCAGATCCCCTGGATCGCATCATGAAGGAGGAGATCTTTGGCCCCGTGTTCACGGTGTTCGTCTACCCAGAGCGGGAGGTCCAGGGCTGCCTGGCCCTGGCCAGGGACACCGCCCCCTTCGGTCTCACAGCCTCCATCTTTGGCAGAGACGAGTGAGTCGGCAAGCTCTCTCTGGCCTCTTTTACTGGCTAATTCCGGTTCGGTCGTCGCTCACTTCTCCATCGGTCTCGAGGGCTCTGGCCACTAAGCGATTTGTTATTATTTCAAAATACATTTTAATGGAAGCGAAGTTATGATTTGTATAGCCGCACAGTGCCAGCGGAAGTGACATCATCAGTGAGATTTAGCGGGACGTCACTAGGGGTCACTTGGTCAATTGGCCACTTAACAAGCGTGAGGCCATGCCACCTCACATGATGTTGGATCATGCGATGTCACAAGACTCGCTGTGCGAAGTCTTGATATCACGGTGTCTGTCCAATTAGATTCTTGTAACGTTGGGTGCCAAGTTGTGGCGTAACATCGAGCCACGTGATGACAGGTCCCACAATATCACTTAACATCACAACTCGACACCGTGACATCCAGGGTGGGAGATAGGTGGAGAAACAACCACTGAAATCTTCTGCAGCGACACAACCAGATAGTGTCCTCGCTGCTTTAGCTTGGAAGGTACCTCCGCGTCATGGTAGATGGCGCGGCGGCATACGGAAGGCGATGGGCTCGGGTTTGTATGGAACTCTGTGAGGGAACGCACCGTGTCAGTGATATTCTTTAACTTGAAGTAGACTTAGAATCGAAAGAATAAAATGTGGAAGACAAGCACAGTATGGTGGTTGTCCTGTTCTTTTCCTCCACGTTTTATCCTTTCGATTTTAAGTATTCATTTTCACCTCGCTCGCTTTTACTTGTTGAAGTAGAATTTACTATATCTTGGGAATGTGAAATCACCACACGATTTTTCATTGACATGTTTCTTAACTTTGCTGTATTTTCCAAACCCCGTGAGCAATTGATTGCGTGAAGTCGTCTGAGAAACGTCTGATGCGGTCTTTGCCTTTCGTTGTGTTTGTTTGCTCCCAAACTTGCTTAGAGCAGATGAATGTGGCGGTAGCGAACGAAGTTGGCATTTCTTGTTGTTTTTTGGCGCCTAGGGACAGCCAAGATTCTCGAGGTACGGGTCGCTACCGTTGTGTTCCAAACTGTCGGTCGGGTTACGACCCGAAGAAAGGAAACGTGGCGATATCAAACATGGGTGACATTGAGTTGGGGTGACTCTGTCGTGCTGGACATAGTGTGATCGCAATGTAGTGCAATAGGGTACCGCTGGCTTCGAATCACGTCGAGCTAAAATTTACCTCGCTTGCACGTATGTGGCGGAAACTTATAAAGCTAGGCCACCAAACACACCTGCAGGCGGAATGGAAGCGACGCCGTCAAGGCATTTACGACACGCCTTCGCTGACTTCTCGGCTTGCCTTCATTTCGTCGTGCTGCACGACGAAATGAATCCCTTGATTATTTTAACTTGTAATGTAGAACTACAGGCAAAACGGAACCTGTATGTTAAATGTATTATTAGTTTGCTCGATCAAACGTGCGCGGTTCACGCGCAGTTTACTAAATAAATTGCCACTGTGTCGCGTTGCCCGCGATAATAATATGGATACTTCGTTTTTCGTTTCACCTTTGCGTGGCACCATCTATGTGGAGTGCCACAAACCTTCCTTAACCGGCGACACAATGGGGTCGACCAATCGGGTCTCATTTCCCCGTCCAGCTGTCCTACACGCTGGTGACATCACACGGTCATACCGCCTATATTTGTGTACATATTGCTAGCGCATTGTGCATATGGGACGTTTTGGTAGCACATCGAAGTCAAAGGAACTGACCAATTATTTTCTGTTGAGGCATGTTTACAGTGAAAATCAAAGATTGAGGTAAAACAGATTCTCAAGCCTAGTTATCCTGCCGTCTTCCCCTAACTCTAAACTAAACTAAGATGTTTTTTTTTGCTTGGGTTTAATGTTCTCTCACACGGGCAATTAGGCCTGATGTGGATGGCTTAAACAGAATATTGATCCTCGTCTTAGGGGCTTCCTCAAGTCTGCGAGTGAATCTCTCAAGATGACCGGCGGAAACTTCTACATCAACGACAAGTCAACAGGGGCCATCGTTGGACAGCAGCCTTTTGGGGGCTCACGCATTTCAGGTCTGTTTCGCATTTTTCTGCATTGCTTGCTTCTAGCTGAATGCAAGGACGGTAAGGGTTACCAAGGGACTTTTTACTGCGTCGGCTGTTAGTGGGACGTCCCCCCGTTTCACGAAGACATGAGCGTAAACATAAATACTTAAAAAAAAGCACTTGAGAATGTGCGACTTTGTCTCATGACTGGGCTGTGATGTCACGCAGCCAAATAACGTAATCCAGCTGCGTGCAAAAAAAAAAAATTGTGTGCGTGCTTTCGAGTTGAGGTGGATCCTTTTCATGGCTTTCGGCGGAATTCACTTTGCTGTGGCGCATCTTACCTAGCCGTTTTGCAAGGCGTTAGCGACATCCACCAGGTGCTCTTTGCTAATCGTTTAATTCGTTTTAAAATTCCTTTTCGAGACTTTTATAACAAGATGTTGGTATGCTCGATGTGATACTGCTTTTTTGAACACATATAGACCAAAAAATGAGCGCCGAAATTTCGTTATAGTATTTCTTTAAAATCATTTATTCATCAGCGAAACATCGCCGCTAAATCAATGCAACATCATTCTACTATCAGATCACCGTATGGTGCAAGATCGGCGCATTGTCAATCTATCGTCATTGTCTTATCGTTGAATAAGCGGCATAGCTGTCGCATCACATCGTGTGATCGTCGCTCAACAAATTTTTATGCCTCTCATTCTTTGATTTTTATTGAAGAATTTGATTAATATTTGCATGTCTTAGAGTTCTTTTAACCCTTAATTATAAAAGAAAGACTTTCACCCTTTCCACTCTGGTGAAGAAGGAAGATCAGCGAAGCTGTACTAAGGTGGGAATATGAGAATAAAGTAATGGCAAGTCGGCAGGCCAGAGTTGAAAGGCTGGAAAGGTTGCCGCCATCTTTGAGCGACGGCGGCAACCAGACGACCGGCAAGCCGGTCGTCTGTTTGCCGTCGTCGATTGTAGATGGCAGTAGCTGTCCAAAGTGTTGTGTCGACATTTCTTTGCTGGGGGACACGATCCTGGGGAAAGCAACTCTTAACAGCTCCCTCCGCTGTAAAAATAAAAACATAAAAACTGTGACTGTGAGAATCTCATCCTAGATGGTTGTAGATCTGCCAAGTGGACTGCCATTGGGCTTTCAATTTAAGAAAAGACAGAGTTTGAGTTTTTGAGAATCTGAGGATATAGTTTCAGTTACTGTATACTGTAAACAAGTGATTCTCAACCATTGATGTTTCGCGGACCCCTTGTGGATTGACGGAGATGATGGGGAACCCTGTTCGTGGTGAGGGGAAGGAAAATGTATAGGTTAATTGTGATAGATATTTATTAAGGGGGAACACTGGTCTTGGAGCTTTTTTTCTTATTCTGTGACCAAACCCATTGAAACTGCATAAGCTTGTTCAGCTTTTTGTGCTGATTTTATATATCTGGTTGTTTTCTCAGTCAGGAGAATTGTCCTCAAGGTAATTAAAACTTGCCTGCCTTTGTTTGGAGGAACGATAGGAAAAAAACTACTCAACAAAATATCCTTTTTAACACATGGCTAGATACTAGAAAGTGTAGAGCATACAATGTTGGAAGTACTTTTAAGATAAACACACTATTAATGATTTTAACACATATCGAAGTTCAGAGCTCAATGCATGGCTAACAAATAATAAAACAAAAGATCAAATAAAAAATTTTCTAGACTTTTATTAGAAAATCTGCTCTCAACATTGTATGCTTCACACATTTAGCTACACATTTCAGGAAAGGTTATATTTCTATCTGCTCTGGTTGCTGAGACATCTCTCCTGCAAACTTTTCACGAGTCCGAAAATTGTGTCTTGTGAAAGCAATGTTTTAGAGTCAACTTCAACTCACATTCAGCCCGCATAGACATTATTAGTTGATTTATAGCCCACATATTCATCCACGAAATTAGAAGCCTGATGAATTCAGAACAACAACAGCCATCACCATTTTCAAAAGAATACAGTTTTAGGACGTTTTTGGCTCCAAAGACCCATGTCCCCCCTTAAATGGATATAACTAAGGGCTAGTGTGAAGTAGACTTGTCTTATTAACATATACACAAGAAATCTAACCTGAAGATTGGAACAGTTCTTCTCAATATGAAAAAAATGAATCTTTTATTGCAGGGCTTGACTCATGAGGCGGGGCTTTGTGGACCCTTATTTTGAGAACCTTTGCTGTAGACAGCTTAATTTTTGCAAGGACCTAATTTTCGCGAAGTTCACAACTACAATAATATTGCAAAAAATACATCCCTTAAATATGTCTTCCTCTGCCAGCAAATATATAGCATACCATCCTTATTTGCGAAATATCCTTGAAAGTAACGCCTTGTCAAATTTGTGGAATATTGAGCCCGCGAAAATAACATAAAGTACTGGGGAAGTGCCCACCCCACTTCCACTGAAAACTGGGTTAATCTATAGTCCATTGCAACTCAAGAAGGTAGGAGAAGTGAAAGGAAGGCCAAGGAGGAGGAAGCAGATGGAATGCTGGAAAGCAGGGGGCACTTAATGTACAATTTGCAGAATTCCCAAGTTCGTGAAATGTTATTAGTGGACGCTTAAACGAAGTCAGCTCTTCTGCGGTATTTTACGGTAGTCTTTTACAGTATATGCTCATGCACGCAATGGCTGCAAGCTTTTTTTCTATTTTTCTTTTTCTTTCAAGATTTGAGGAAATCAATTAGGGATCCAACCATAGCAAGAAAAAAACTTCACATTTTTTGGCGGATGCCTAAAAATTTATTTACTTGTTTTTAATAATTGGTAGTCATGTGCAAATACAGTCAAACCCCGCTTCAATGAACGCCGCTTTAATGAAATTTCCGGTTCAACGAATATTTTCCGGTTGCCCGTCAACGGTCCGTAGGAGTCGATGCACAAAAATTCTCACTACAGCGAACACTGTTTCTTGTGCCGTTCCACTTGAATGATATTTTACAGAGCAATTCGAAGTTCGAAAGTTTAATTTTCCGTGTGGAAAACAAACTTTCCAGCACTTTGGTGCGTTTTGGCACATAAAATACATCTACTGTAAAGTTTAAGTCATGTGTTTAACCACCAGAAACTGCCACTTATAACCTTACCTGAGCGCAACGCTGACCGGGCGTGCGGACCGCTATTACTCAGTGGCGACGGCGACGAGGCTGGCCTTCCTTTTCTGTTGCACCGCTTGCACCCATGTTGGTTGTACCCTAGCTCTTGGCTTGATAATCCTCTGCTGCAGACTATCCAAAGCCGAAGCTCAGTCGTCTTCTTTGTTTTGTCAGTTGTCCTTTTGTGAGCACAGTACACGGGCCCTTCAGACATGGTACCGCCAAGCAAAACGCGGAAGGTTTTATCTTTAGAAGATAAAGCTCGCATCCTGGTCGAAGTCGCAAGTGGACAGAAGAAAGCTGTCATCGCAAAAAAGTTCAGAATTCCTTCGATTTCTTTTTTTGGCATTGAACAGGTGCGTTCACTCCGACAATGTGATCTAGTCACGCGATAACTTTCATCGTAAAAGCGGCCATTGCAGAAAAAAAAGAGACGCGATTTGAGCAGTCACTACCCGACCCAACTTTTTGCGATGTGATCTAGTCAGGGAGCGGCTGAGCCAATCAGCGGCGCTCGGACAGAGAGTTTTCGAGAAGCTATTCACCAACGAAGGTGTTGGACTCGCTCATAGCGCACGCCAGTGTGACCATCTAATTTTTTTGCGATGCGATGTAGTTGCATCGCACGACTGCTTTACATTGCTGGTGTGTGAACTTAGTGGCAAGTCAGCATTGGCAGAGACAGACATTTATTTATTCAAGTTCCCTTAAAGGCCCTCGTTGAGGGCATTACATAAGGGGGGGTACATAACACGAGAGTATAAAACAATAACAACGACATATTGTGCTTCCACTTGAGTTTCAGTACTCTACCAGTTCAGGTATGCCAGTTTTTTGTGAATTTCACAATACAACAAAATTTTTGCTACAACATATTTTTTCTGGTGCACCGTTAATTTCGTTGTAGCGGGGTTTGACTGTAGTGGGTTTTTAGTTCGAAGCTCATTCTAAGCAAATCATGGCGTTGGCCGAATATGTTTGAATCGGATATCAAATAGTTCTTCCGAGCCTTTCACTACTGTTGCACCATGCTTGAACGAAAACGCAGCTGGGCTTGTGAAGCTTGTTCCCGAACTTCCATCAGTCCATTTCTAAGATAATTTTGATATAGCTATATTTAGAAAGTGTGGCATCAAAAAGTTAAATGCCTACATAGGCACATCAAGGGAACAACAGGTTTGACATAAAATTAAACCTATAAAGATGCCTAGCTCTACTTGATCAAGAGGATTTATAAATCTTGGGATATGCAAGTATCCTTTCTTCAATTTCGAATTAAAGAAAAATAATCTCAAATGATGAACGCAGGTTGTCAGGGCATCTCTTCCTAAAATACTGTATACTCTTGCATAATCGCCACAGTTTAATTTCAAAAAATTTATTTCAGTGCAGGTATCAACATTCACAAAGTTTTGGCCTCTTTTGAAATACACTAGGTGTGCACGTGCACCATCCCGCTTTAAAAGGGTGCTTTTCTCCTACGCACGCGACTGCAATATCTGCACTTTTTGAAATGTCTATTTCGGCGGGTTAGCCCCGTTGTGCGCGCTTCTTACCGAGCACCGGCGCACTGCGGAGAAGCAACATCCGCGGAAGCGAGCTTGGCGAGTGTTGCTTCTCTGCAGTGCTCCTGTGCTCGGTAAGAAGCGCGCTCAACGGGGCTAACCCGCCGCAATCAACACTTCGAAAAATAGTAATATCACAGTTTATCTCGGAGTGAATATCGAATAGCGTGTTACTCGAAACTGTACAGTCAAGCCTGCTTATATCGAACGGCGCGACGATATTAAAATAGTTGAATGTAGCAAAAATTCAACATACAAAATGTAGCAAAAGAATTGCATGTAAGTGCAATGCAGCTGACACATTCTCCAGCAAACTCGCAGGCAGCTCTTACCAGCCTGCACTTCACCATTAATCGAGACACTTTCTCGAAAACGTAGTAATTTATTGGGGCAAGAAGAACTGTGTAAGCGTAGCCCATTTCTTTGAACTCGTTGCACCCCCGGTAACGGCCCACTTCATGGTATCTGAACAGTCAATGAGTGCGAGTGTGTTGCCCTCAATGGTACTACAGTGGTGGCATAGCAGGGCTACGGCAGCGACGGCTCCTGTGGGACTGGGCTCATGGCATGCAACTGGCCGCTCTCAAACGACCTCAGCTTCCATCTCGATGTTAGTCAGCTCCACCCTGGTTCCCTTCAGCGCTTCTGGCACTAACAATATGGGCGTGCGGTGCTGGTCAAGCATTCTAGACTTGCAAGCTCTTGCTGCACCACCGCTGTGCGCCGGTGTATTGAGGAGAAGTCTGCTGCATGTCTCCGGAGTGCACACTATCCACTGTGGAAGGGTTTGACATATCCATTACGAGCTCGATCACGTTCGATATAAAAAATTTGGAATGCGTGGAATTTTTATCAGAGTTCTACGAGGGTTCGATAGAGGCAGTAATTCTATATGCCCGTGTTCGATGTGATCGGGTTCGACTGTATCGGGAAATTTGAATAATTTGCGCAACACTATTAATTTCAACTATCTGTGCAGGATAAAAAGAAGACAGCATTTATTGCTGCCGTTAACACTAAGACATTGCGACTCTACCACGTTATCTTGCTTGGAACTCGTTAGGCGTACATTATAAGAAACATTTATAACACATCTTTTTTTATCTTTGAGCCGGGCTGAGTGAGAGCATGCGGGAAAATAAGCATGAAGATATGTGTACTGGAAAGCACAGGATGCAGGTGCTGAGGTATACCTTCATCTTCGCTTTATCCGAATTTTTAGATACTTCCGCAAAAATGGAAAAAAAATCTCGGGATACAGACACTCCTTTCTCTCTTTCTATGGTAGTTCATTTTCTTGTATTAGGTCTCAAGTAATGAAAAAGTAGTGTGTAAAATGCTAAACACCAAAAAAAAAATTTGCACTGCAGTAATGATACCCCCCTGGTGACCACTTTACTTGTATTGTCCTAACGTACCATATATTCAAATAAATAAGCTACTTTTCTTTTTTTTTGTACATATTGAGGGTAACAGTTCGCTTTAGGAGTACCGTAATATCTCGAGAGATGCCCCACCCCCGAAAGCCTGCCCACCTCCAGTATTTGCAGGGCCCTGGCCAATGATGACCTCGACAAAAACAGTGTTACTTAACATCGGCGGGAGATGAGCGAACATTGCTGACTGGGAAGAACAGTCGTCTTTGGCTCATTGGAGCCCCTTCCTGCGATCGAAAGTTTCGAGAGTCACAAAATCTAGAAGAAGCTTTTTTTTTTTTTTTTGTATGACACATTGAAAGTTAGCCCACATTTTATTTTCATCCGATTTCGCTATAGATTTTAGGTGGGCCATTTCTCGGTATATTACGGTAATCCGATTTTTTTTAAGCTGATTGAAGCTGTTTTCCAATAAAGCTGTTGACCAGAAACATTTTTTTTTCTCGCAACCCACAGGTACAAACGACAAGGCGGGCGGCCCGCACTACCTCCTCCGCTTCAGCTCTGCCCAGACCATCAAGGAGACCAAGATACCCCTCACGGACATCGCTTACCCCTACATGGCGTCGTAGTGCCGTCATCCGCCTGGTTCCTTTGTGTCACATCCACGGGACATTTGCGCGAGGCTCGACGCCGCCCGTGCACCAGACAGTGAAAGACTGGCTTCGCTCACTCTGTGTGACACGGGATGAAAGAAACCGTGCCTTTTCCAGCGATAGCAGCGCGGAAGATGGAACCTGTTGCCTTTCGAATGTCTTCCAATGTTGTGGAAGTTCGACTTTAATTTGTCTTTACCGTCATGTGTGTTGGGGGAGTGTATGCCGAAGAAGGTAGCTCGTTGCAAGACCTGCGAGATGTCCAAAAATATTTCTAGTAATGTGGATTGAATGGCAGCCATGGTACCGGGCACTTCACACAAAGGAAGGAGATGCGAAGTTAATATTTTAATGTGTAGCCTTTTTTTTAACGTGCATCACATTGTAGGCAAGAAGGGAAATAGTGTAGGGGAATGTCTTGAGAAACGACAGCCTAAACGCTTGAATGGGGAAATCGAAGAAACGGACGAGACAGTCTTCGTGCAGCTGTGTTTAGACATCGGTGAATGGCAATAAGTGCGCATTCAAACAAGAAGGAATGGAAAAAGGAAGATGCTGCCTTTGCAATGACTTGACCAAATGTTTTAAGGCAGGCTAAACCCCTCTAAGGTACAATGTACTGCTGCAAAAGGATATGAGCAACCAAAGATCCAGCAGGACCACCTTCCCGAGGTTAAAAGAGCTGACTAACTGAGAGAACTCCCATCCTTTTTTTTTCCCTCTTTTTTTTTTTTAATTTGCAAAGACACCAATGCACACGAAAACTAGAGTATTTTCTACTTTTCTACGCAATAATCTTCGGGAGGAGTTTCAGTGCAGTAATTGAATAGTATGGGGTTTCAAAAGAAGTTATGTGTACGGGGATTCTTCCACAAGTTTTGCCGGTACATTCAGTGTGCAATGTTTTACTGACTTTTACTTTGTATGCCTTATAGCAAGTGATGGCTTTTTTGTGATGCCCGCATTACCCTGCTTGGTTTCTTCACGTGTTGGTAATCTTTATATGAGAGTCGCATTCATGTAGATTTCTGTGAAAACACATTTAATGTCAATTTTTGAGTGTGCAAAGCTTGGAACTCATTTTCTTTTTAATTTCTTTCTATAAGCACTGCTAATGCTTCTGCCCAAAGTTGGCATTGCCTTCGATTTTTGTATGAAAACTCCTGAAAATACAGTATGTAAAGAGGTGACTTGGGGTTTACAGAGCACTGTGCTATTATCAGCTGCAGTAATTTAATGTTTGCTGTCTTTCACCACGATTCATTCCAGAAAGCAGACGGACACCTTTCCTTCTTTTGGCTCTGATCAGAAACAGCAGCAAAGGCTGCTGCTTCTGATCATGTACCATAAATTAATAAAACCAAACGTCTTTTGACCACTGCTCGCAGCTTGTATAAATCAAAATCAGTCTTTATAAATAAAATACACACCACACAAAAACAACGGAAAAGCAGACGGGACGATCACTGGCACACAACTAACATTTAATGAAATTAACCCATAAAAAGAAAACAGCCACACAGAGGCATATCTATAAAGGCTATATCCCTTTTTGATGCACAGATGTCTGACTGGCATATTTTAAATGTGTGAGCCTGAGATCGAGCCTGAGATCGTTCAGCACGGAGCAAGCTGTTGACGATAGTATGGTTGCTCCGCGTGCAACGGCGACTGCTCTTGGAGTGGGAAGTTTCCTTAGTGTGCGCTTGGCGACAGCGAAGCGACCTACGCAAACCACTAATGCTAGAAACAAAAGCAGCGCAGCTGCAAGGGACGCACTGCAAAATGAGAGCGCCGTCCGTGCCCAGCAGCACATGACATTCGGTGCAGTGACTTGTGCGGCAGACACGAGCAAAGGCTTTTGAAATGCTATGCCTTTAGAACGGCTTTTGGAAATGCCAAAGACAGCCAATTCTTTTCTACCCCCTCTTTTTTCAGTGAATACGCTATTAACGAGGAGAGAATAGAAAAATCTGTCAGTCAGGCATCTAGAGCTCTTGGCTGCAGATCTGTCCATGCCCTGCCAGCATGTCTCTATCTGACGAACGTCCGCTGCAAAGACCTTACCTTTCTTCTCATTCGCTAGTCTGCTATGTTGCGTCATGTAACTCTTCTTGACTTTTTTTTTTTTTTTTTTTTGGACTCGCGCTTTTTGTGCAACATCTTGGCGCAGCTCAGACAGTCAATTTCGCGTGGTTGGAAGATCCTCAAACATCGTCTCACCCGCGGAGGACTTGGAGCCGGTAATAGCGACCTGTAAAGATTACAGAGATATGCGCAGCGTTGTCAAAAATATTGAGGAGATGCGACAAATTAAGTAGAGTTAAGGCACCCGGTTTGCGCCTGATGTTTTAAAACATGGAATGCCTTCGACCTATACTCTAAGTGGAAATATTGATGTGAGCGACAGGTGGTGGCTTTAGCTTAGCAAACACTGGAGAGGAGGTCGCCTCCTTTCCAGCATTTGCTCTGCTAAGGGGGGAAGGGGTATGTCAATTCTGTTCCCCTGCTAAATCTAGCGGGAAAATTCAAGTCATGGTCTAAACACCAATTCAGTTTCCTTGGTAACTTTAGCGGACGCATGGCCCGCACCACAGCTCCCTTCTGGACTTCGTCCAGGAAGCGGGAATGAATTAACCTATGCCGCATGGCCAACTGAATTAATTAAAAAAAGTTTGCCCGCTAGATTTAGCGTGGGGATATGCGTCACCCCTCCTCTTCCCATCTCGCAACCATCTTCCTACCCTACGGTGCCATCCCTGCTTTTTCTCTTCCCCCTCCTTGGTCATGTGACACAACAATTCAGTTTTCCCATTCCTCTCATGCTCTCCCAATCTTCTCAGTCCTAGAGCACCCCCCCCCCCCCCCCCCCCCTGTCACGTTCTCCACCCCCGGAACGGCAGTTTAATGTCGCTCCTAAATACCGCATTTCAGGCACTATAGGGCTTCAAAAATAAAGATCGCTGCCATTTTATTTTTTATAAGGCTGCAAATTTATGTGATATTTTCAAATCCCTTGTCTCGAGATCGCTTTCTCGCGTACGTGGTGGTGAACTTTCGGCATCCTTCGCTGCCCTCGGACTCGCTGAAATGGTGCAGTGTAATACAGAGAGCAAACAAAGATAACCGAGAACTTGAACCCTGACGTCGCCCCGTGCAGTGTAATACAGAGAGCAAACAAAGCCTCTAAGCTGACTGCAGTGGAAGCTACGTTCTGATTGGACCAGTCATATGCATCGATCTTTCGCCACGTGATCACGCAGAGAGGGGGGCAGGTGATGAGAGGGAATTATGTTTATGCGGAGCGCAAGTTTGTCTGCTGCTTGCACAGAGGTGTCGATGATGTCAGAACGCCAATGTCTTATTAACTGATTGAAGAAAAATGAAAGCAGTTTATGATTCCCTGTAACGCCGGTTAGAGCGCAGCTTTTGAGGAGGATGGAAGCGTACTGAGGGATAGGCGACTCCTTGAGGTCACGTGACCTCGGGGGGGGGGGGGGGGGGGTGGGCATGGGCGTACCAACCGGGGGGGCAAGGGGGGTACTTGCCCCCCCAGTTCTCAGAGTGGGGGGGCAAGGCATGCGTTTTGCCCCCCCTGAAACGGCCGCCACTGGGCAGGGCAGACACTGGCCGGCGGCGCCCAAGGAATACCAAGGGCACTGCCCCCCGACCCGCGCGGGCATATTTTTAACGCGCAGGCGATACAAACCCTAGCAACGGTGCTAACGCACGCCGGATTGGCTGGTTCGTAAAGCCTTGCTCCACGAACAAGGCTACACGGTAACCTTACGGAATCCATCCGCGAGACATGGGCCGGACGGGCCGTCCAGACCAGGACGTAGGCCCTTACACAAAATAAAGTTTTACTTGCTTGCTTGGAGATAGGCGCTGCCGCCGTCAACATAGGCAGCGGATGCAATGCGAGTTTCCGAAGAGGTAGCGTAACTTAGTGGTGAGATGTCTGCCTCATACGTGTCAGACCCGGGTTCTATTTATGGTGTGGGCCGGCTTACTTCTTTTTGTTTTTTTTCTCGAACATTTTGTTTTGTCGAGGCATTTGGCGATATTTACATTTCTTTTTTACCATTAACACTAAAAAAACGAATGTTGTTGACGAAACATCGCTAAACTAAATCGTATCGACTCTATTTACGGAAGTGCATGGGGGGCAGCGGGGCTTGGGTTGCCGACCGGACGCCGCAAAGCGGCGTGTACGGGGGGTGGGGGGGCTAGGTGGGTTAATAGATTTGTAATTAGCAGCCGCACACCGTCACCGCGAAGCGGCGTGAACGCAGGCGCGGGGGTGGGTTAACGCGCTTCGAGTGATACACGAGCAGCCCATCCGGCGTGAGCGTCGTTGTTAGGGGTTCTATCGCCTGCACCGTAAAAGGAGCAGTGTGTGCACCTCCTGTAGTGGGCAAGAATTCCTACATTGGAGAGAAGCGGGGACAAGCCCTTTCTTCATATGCGTCAAGTCTCCTTGAGCTTCGGAATACAAAGAAACGCCACTATTCGGAGCTAATCCCACAGTTACTCGACCTCTCTTGCGTCGTGTCTGTTCGCTCCCCGCGCCTCGTAGCAGTGTTGTTGCAGTGGGGGGGCTCGTTAAAATTTTGGGTTTTTTTGGACTATCTAAATCACTTTCTTCCTTCCCATCCCCCCCTTTTCTACTCCGCATGCTTCCCCCTCTGCAAATATCAGCTGACCTTCCGACATCTTTTCTCTGTTGATAGGCAAAACAACCACTAAAATTAGAAAGTAATTTGTAATTTGAGTGGAAGTCACTCGGAAAAGTAGTTAAAGTAAACTACGAATTACTAGAATATAAATGTAATTAAAAGTTACTAAACTACCCAGAAAAGTAGTTAAACTACAGTAACTTGAGTAAAGTAGTTGAACTACGTACAAGTCTGGCCCGGCAGGCACTCTGCGTAAGGGTTTTCACCTATCTGCCTAGCCCCGCACACCATCACATGGGCCAAGAAAGGTATAGTTTTACTGCAGAGGAGAAATCAGCAGGGTCCAAGATGGTGACAATGGAGGATGGGGGACTGTTCCAGTGGCTGATGGCTTGAGAAAGGAATGACCAATTGAAAGCGTTAGTAGAGTCAGAAATGTGCTTGATGGTGCAGACGTTGTTGAGGCGAGAAGATGTTCGGTCGGGGGGTAATAAAAAAGTGGTTTTGAGGTCGGGAATGTGGTAGTAGATTTTGTGAATAAGGCACAGCTGAGAGACTTTTCTGCGAAGCTGCAAAGAGGACATGGTTAGTTCAGTTTTTAGCGCTGAGACACTGAAAAAAAAAGTCATAAGTGGATGAAATGAAGCGAGCAGCTCTGTTCTGAAGTGCCTCTATAGGGTATTGATGAGGTACAGTCGATGGGTATTCCAGATGGTTGAAGCATATTCTATTTTTGGTCTGACGTACGTGTCAAAGGTTAGCTTACGGACAAAGGGTGGAGCGTTTTTTAAGTTACGTCTGCTTAGTCCAAGAGTTCCAGATGAACCGGCAGTAATGACTTCAATGTGGTTATTCCAGGGAAGGTAAGGTGTTAGTTCTACACCAAGGTATTTATACACAGTAGCGGTCTCAATCAGATCGGAGTCCAAGAAGTAATTAAATGACAGAGTGGTTTTTTTTTCTTGGTGAAGTGAATTAGCTTGCGTGTATACTTGTTTAATGACATAATCCACTCTTTGCACCAATTGTTAATTTTATCTAGATCTTCCTGAAGCTGGTTATTATGTTGCACACAAGTTACTTTGTTATGGATGACGCAGTCGTCGGCGAAAAAGCGTATTTTTGAAGAAAGCCCATTGTGAATGTCATTAATAAATATTGAAAAGAGTAAGGGCCCAAGTACGAACCCCTGGGGAACACCAGAAGATACATTTATTAAGGAAGATTCATGATCATTATGGACGTGACCTGTACACGGGAAAAAAGAAAGTCACGAATCCATGCAAACGGTTATTGGTCGAGGCAAAAAGATGATAGCTTGGAAAGAAGGCGTTGATGGAGGACACGGCCGAACGCTTTGGAAAAAAAAAAAAAAAAACGGCGACAGTTTGGACGTGACATTCAAGGTTAGTGTGCGAGTCATGGATGAAGTCGCAGAGTTGTGTTTCGCAGGAAAGTACCTTTTGAAAACCGTGCTTCTGTTTAAAGAAAAGAAATGGGATGATAGGTGCCTCATGATATTGGAGTAGAGGATATGCTCAAGTAGTTTGCAAGAAATTGAAGTCAAAGGAATAGGGCGATAATTAGATGCGGAAGAGCGGCTGCCCTGTTTAAAGACTGGGAATTACCCTTCCCACCTTTTGGTGAGATGGAAGGCAGCTTTGAGATAAGGACTGAATAAAGATGAGTTTCAAATACTCAC